AAAAATTTCTTTTTTTATTGTTATTGTTTATTATTTTCCTATTTTTTTTTTTGTTAAATTTTTGAAAAATAATTCCGAGGTCCGAAAAATTTCCCTGTTCTTATTAAATTCCTTTTTGTTTTCGCCACTCATTTTAGACATTTTTGTTAGAATCATTATAGAACTTATACAGTTAATAAATTAAAAAAAAATGCTTTTTTGATCAGAATATTGTAAAATCGTATAATAAATTTTAAAAGGGAAAAATAATAGTAAAAAAAAAAATTAATTTTATATTTATTTGAAATTTAAATTAGAAGATTTTCAATTATAAATTTAGGATGCCATGTTAGTTGAAATTTATTGGTTCTATCAAATTTAAGTACATTAAATAAATTCAATTAAAAGTTTGCATTAGACCCGAAAAATTAATATTCGTGATCGGTAAGAAAATTTTTGTATTGCCTTATCTTTCAAACATTTATACAACAAAATAGCCAACATTATTATTCGTGAAAAAAACGCTCAACACAAAGCACAATGCAGATATCAACAACTCAACTGAGAATAAATAAAAATCAATAATTAAATTGTCAGATCTTTTAAGAGAGTTTAAAAATTTTTATTTAGAATAATTATTAATGTATGTTTAAAGTTCAAATGTTCTCATATACTCACTCATAAGTGAGCTGGAGCCGGCATACCCATATACACACTTTGCAAAATTAAAATATAATATGGCTGTCTACTATGTAAGTCTGACTGATATTATAAAATAAATGAAAAATTTATCATACCCTATCAAGAATTAAATTATTATAAACACATTACAAGAAAATAATGAGATTTCGTAATATGTTTACATAAACACGAAATTCTAGACAATGCGGTAACCATAAAAAGTTTTTATATTATATTTTATATTTACAAACATACATAACGCACATACATGTTAAGGTTTCTCTAATTTAAAAAATTAAAAAATTTCGAAAATACTTTAAATATTTTGGAATTTTATTAAGTTTTTGTTTTTCTTTTTAAAATATACAATTTAATTAAATATAAATTAAGAATTTCTAATCGATTTTATACACTTATGTGTCAGAAATGATTTCATACAGGCTCCTTGTTTGTATATTCTAAATAAGATTTATGGGAAAATGAAAATATTATGATTTTAATTATTAATTTTAATTAATTTATAAATGTTCTTATTCTCATTTGTATAGTGTGGGTGCGCATATGCAAGTGGAAAATGTAGTGATAACTTCAGAACAGTGATAACATATATGGTGCTACCACTACTGCGTTATCCTTCACATAAGGTGTTATTCTTCACTATTTATCACTAAGTATATCTCGAAACATTGAAATCAAAAACTCGGAATATTGAAATTACGTGTTGCAACATATCTGATATGTTCAATATCGCTTCTAAGGGAGTGCTTCGAAAGTTTTCTGCAGCAATTCGATTAATTGTATAATAAATTGAGATCATATTATAGTTGAGAAAATTATAATTTGAAGTGTTGGAAAAAAATCTGTCAAAGAGTTTGAAAATATGTATGTATATGTATAATAAAAACGCCCTCCATAAATAGTGGAAGAAAATTTTTTTCCTAATTTCAAACACTTCACTACAATTCGTATTAAGTAAGTGATAAGTTTTGCCGTTTTTTTGCAAATAATTTTGTTTTTTACATATAAGCATTAACACATGTACATACATGTTTTCTGTCACGGCTGTGCTAAATACTGTATTTAGTTTTTGTTAAATCATAGTTTGTTTGTGTATATTGTACATGTGCGATATGTGAACTTGACCTTAATTTTAATTTAGGAAAAGAAAAACAAAAGGTTTTCACAATAATGCTAACTGTGTTTTCACGGATGACGAATTATTTAATTTGAATATTTATTTATATAAAATAACAAAAGCATTTTTTAACACTTCCTACAGGTTTAACCACATTAATAAATTAATATAAACATATAATTATATATATATATACATAATATAATAAAAAAAACATAATTATGTGTAAAATAGGCGCAATGAGGGAATTATTTTCTACAAACTTATATATATATATATATTATTCCCTTGATTATTTATAATTTTAAAAAATTCCGTTTTTTATATACAATATGATGTCAACATTTACAGATTTGCATATACACGACATCAGTAAATAGTGAGTAGTACAGTGCTTAACAAAAGAAAAATTTAAATTATCAATGATAATACGGACATATATATATATACGGACATATATATATATATATATATATATATATATATGTACTCAATAAATGTTGCAAACAATCATCATGAACAGGAGGAATAGGAGGAGGAAGTAACACATCTCATTTGCTTATATTATAGGCACTTGAGTGCGGGAGCCAAAAATTATTGGAGTATATTACGTATCTTGCAGAAGAAAATTCTATGAAAACCTGTATTAGCTTTTAAAAAGTTAAAACTGATTCGTATCACAATGAAAATACGAGATGGCAATATCACAATACGACGATGTGGCAGGGGCCTATTTATCATAAGTGTACTCTTTCTAGACTGCTTGACCGTAGAGTTTACCTGATCTGACTTAATTCATAATATTAACAATCAGCTTGGTTATTTCGGCAAGGTATTAGTAAACCTTTCCATTAAATAATTTATTGTTAATAAATATTTCATTTCGCTCAAAATTTAATTATAGAGCTGTAATATTATGAAATTAAAATCTTTTGCCTATTTTTAGGCGCTATAATTTTGCGAAGCAATGGAGTAATATTAGGAGAATAATCCATATTAATATCAAAATATTTACAAATTCAAATACCAAATTAATAATTCCGCTTTTGAAATGGTTCAGAAACATATGTAAATTAATATTAATAAATTAATTGTTCTGGCGATACTTACAAGACAGTAAATTAAAAATAATCACTACTATAGGCACTCTTTTTCCACTTTTAATTCTAAATTTCTTAATTTATCATTTTACTTTTCATTATATTTTTAATATATTGAAATTGAATTATAATAAATTTTAGTTTTACATCTAAATTTACAACTTTGTAAATAACAACAAAAATAAATACAATTTATTAATGAAAATTTAAGAAATTACAAAAAATTAAAAAATCTTTTTCACTTAATTAACAAGTGTATATATAGGCGCATATAGCGAAAAAAAAAGTGTAAAACTTAAAATCTTAAAAGTAAGTGGAGGCGGTCTAAAACAAATGGAAATTGTGTTTTGAAAATCATTTTTCATTGTGTAAAAAGAAAATTTATTTTTTTTACTATTTTTGTTTTTTCTTTTTTTTGTTGTAAACTAATTTTCAATTTCCACTAAAAATAATTTATAGAATTCACACTTAACAAAATAATCAAAAATTGTACAAGAAAAAAATTCTTAACAAATTATTGAAACATTTAAAAAATTTTTTTAATTTTATTCTTTAGAATATTTTTTTTTTTTTAGAACAAATCAAAAATAATGCAATCGAAAATTTTTTCAAATTATAATTAAATAATTTTCGACTGTGTGAAATTTTATCCAATAAAATAAAATCATTTTTTGTATAAAAATGTGAATAAGAAACTATAAAATTTAGGTCTTTTCATATATGTCCAGTACATTGAACTTCTTCCTTACTTATTCTTTTGTTTATTGATTATTCACAATATATGTACATATGTAAATTTAGCCGCTTACTTATTTAATATAATTATTTTCTTATGGTTTGTATGGAACAGGTAATTTATTTATATAAAATATAAAAGTAAATTAAAAATTACAAAAACTAAAAAAAAAAAAATAAAAATTTTTTAATGTACCTCGGTATGAGAACAGTGAGTCAAGTAGTGTACATTTATCACGCATTATATCATACACGCATTATAAGAACATACTCTTAGAAAATGTGCTGTTTGTACTAAAGGCAATAATTGGAGTATGCGAGTACCTACATTCTAATTTATTTCGAGCAAAGTATTTTGGGTTGAGTAGAATCTAATTTGAAATTTAGTTGTTTAAATTTGTCATGGTGTAATTATAAATAACATATAGGCACATATTATTATAGTAATTTTAAATTTTAAGGGTTTATTTAAATTAAGTAATAAAATTTTAATGTTATAGATAATTAAAAAGCAAATCGCTTTAAAATTCATAGTATGCTTTTCATATTTGCCAATTTTAAATTGAAAAAATAACCCAAGAAATATTTTTAAAATATTTGGCAACATGTAGAAAATATCTCACTAAAAAGTCTAGTAATGCGTATTCCTAGTAAATCTATTATAATATTTTGCAAAATATGGTGCTCTTCCCTTAATTTGTGGGTAATTTATAATGGTAAAATACTGTGACCCAGTAATCTATTTAGTAAAATCTGGCAAAAAAATATAAATAATATTATTAGCTATAATCTATAACATTTATAGTTTAAATTTCACATATTTCAAGAAAATATTCTGCTAATAAATAATTTGTTCACGAAAATTTAATTTAAAATTATATGAACACCACCTTACATTGCTAAAAACTGAATTAATTGAGTTAGTTGCGCCATTTGATTTTGATTATTTGGAATTGGAATATACATATGTATGTATATCGTAATTTTACTATATTTTCAAACAATTTTTTATAACTAAATTAGAATTAAATTAAATAATGTTACTTAATAATAGATTAACATAATCAGTAAATTAATTCGAATGAACTGGCATTAAAATAATGCAGTAAAGAATGCAAATAAAGTGCAATAAAAATTCAATGTTATTGTTATTACAATTTAGCTTTAATTTCAAAGAATCAAGGGGCTGGTAACGAAGGATGATTGTATGTTTACTTTGCAAATGGTATAAATATGAAAATTTAAAACTAGTTTTTCTAAATTCACAGTACTTCTAGTAAAAGAGAAAAATTCACACAGTCCAAAATTATAATATTTTTTTTTATTATTATTTTATGTTTATATTTTCTATTTAAAAAAGATGTTTTCACTTTTTATTTATAAAAAATGTTTTTTGTTTGAGAAAAATATTTCTCTATGACAGCAGCGGTTTTATTCTTTATATTCCAGTAATTTACATTTTTATACACTCTCCAACTACATGTATCTGTCAAAATACTTTTTATTTATTTTTTTCTCTCCTATATTAAAGAAAATGTGTAGTAAAGTTTTCACAATAAAGAAAAAATCACAATCGAATGCGATTGCGCGAATATTTTTGTTTATTTATTTTTTCATTAAATATTTTCTACTTTATTCTATTTCCATTGTCTTTCTTATTCTTTACTATTTTATTGTAATTTTTTGTATTAATAACAAAAAGAACAAATCAAAATTACTAACGTGCTCAAATCGATATTCAATTAAAAATAAAATATTCCACCGTCAATAAATGTTTACTTCACAAAGATTACCGTTAGACTAATTCATAAAAGTATAGCGAAAAGAAAGAAAAAAGAATATTGCAAAATAAGGGGCGAACAATAATAATAATAAAAATGAGTAGTAAACATAAAGCAAAGCATACGTACGAAAATAAAACTAAAATATAATAAACAAAAAGGAGTAAAAAAAAAAGTGCTAAACAAAAACGAATGCGTAAACGACATTGGAAAATTCATTCGGTGTCTGGAACTAAAGAAAATAAAGAAGAAAGAGTAATGTATCATGTATGTATGTATATGCAATAATTTGCTTTGATTTTTATTTTGAAATGAAAAAGCACTGCATACAACACGTGAGGCGAGAAATAAATTTAAAACTGGAAAAACTTTTTTTTTTTTGCTGGAAGTAAAATTTTTGAATGCATTAATATACAAAAAATCATTTGTTTATACCCTACCTACAACTAAATGAAATTTACATTCTTTGCTGAATGTTTGTAAGTAATATAAAAATAGATATGTATGTACATATAATATAGTACATTTGCGAAGTTAAATGACACTTTTTGAATTTCAGAATTTGATGGCTCTTCAAAATAATAACAAATGATCTTTATATAAATTTTTTGAGTTCTAATAAATTGTAATTGTATAGATTTACTTCAACAATCAAATTTCTTAACAGAAATCACCTCACAAACGTTTTTAGCACGAAATCATCACCATAAAGAAAATTTCATTTGTAAATGCAGGTAATTTTTCGTTTGAAATACAGCGATTTCTTTTTTTTTATTGAAAGAACTTTTAAGGTAGTTTCATTGGTTCGTCGTTTTTAAACTATAAACATAATCCGGATGCTAAAATGCACTTTAAAATTTGATAGCTGCAAAAAAAATAACTGTTCAATGCAAATACATGAGAGTTTAAAAAATAACGATGCACTTCAAATTTATTTTGTTATTTTAATTTTATGTCGCTTATCAAAAAAAACTGACACTAGATTTTAATCGTTGTGGTTCATTACACAAAATGTTGCTGTAGCCTCATTGTGTTTTATAAAGTGTTGAAGCTAATATTTTTGCACTTATCAAATTTTGCAATTTTGAATTTCGGCGCAATTGTGTTTTCAGCATTATTAGGAAAAATTTTGCGATTGTCAAATTTTAAAGTGCATCTTTGCGCTCTTATAAAAGTGATAATCAAAAGTTTTCTAACTGCAATTTAGGAATTGGAAATATTTAAAAATTTCTTCTTTAATTGATTATAAACACTGTAGTAAAAAGATTTTGTAATATTTAAATAGATTAAAATTTTTTCTGTTTCCATATTTAAAGCACATATAATGCACAATTGTAATATCAACGTTATGGCCAGTTATGACAATTGTAATGAAAAGTTAAAAGAAATTTAAAAAAATTCTTTCCAATAATTCAAATTTTTTTGTCGAATTTTGTTTGGTGTCTCTTTTTCCTATATTATACAATATATTTTTATTTTTTTTCAATATTGTATAGAAATTCAATTTAATAGATGTAGTCAAAAATAAATTTTTAAACATTTGCGTAGTGTTTGCTATCACATGCCTTAGTAAGAATTTTTGACAAAAATTATTTGAATTGGCCAGTCTCGATAATTCTGTAAATATTAGACATTCAATAATTGGTGACAGTACCTACTCCAACAGGATTCAAATCTGCATTAATGAAATATTTTTTAAAGTTAAAAATTTAATTTAAATAAAAATGTATTTAAATTTTTAAATATTAATTTCAAAATATCAAATAACATAGAACAATTGCATAGAAAAATTTTTTTCTATTTAACAATGACAGAGCGTTGTATTTAACTTGTTTTGAACTTACGTACACAAATAATCATACAATTGTGTCATATTCATCATATTCCAGATAAAAAAGGACAAAAACTTATTGTATTTGTATGAACTACTTATTTGTTTAAGAAGTATTTTTAATAAAGAAAAACTTCTGAAATCAAAAAAAAATTCCTTCGTTTATTAAAAAATTTGAAAGAGGGTAATAATTTTATTGTGTATAAGATTTTTATTGTGTTGAACACAACGCTATAAATAAATATGTATGTATGCCTGCATATTGGACGTATTTATACATACATTACATACGAGTATATATACATATGCATGTACTTTGTGTACACTTACTTGAAAAAGTAAATCTGAATCAATTTATTTATAAAATTTTCAAATGAAAAAATTGCTTGTAGGATGGCATACAATGCTTGTAGTTTCGTTTATAATAATTAATTATATTTCAAAAGCTTGGTTTTAATAGTTTACCTTGATAACTATGGTAACACTTGACAATACACTATTTAAATCACAAACTCCTCATTTTCATAAAATATTTTGAAATTTGAAACGAAACCTGCAGCCTGTTTAAGGGTATATAACTTTTGAACACTTCAGAATAGTTTTGAATGCGACATTATTTTGTATGGAAATCCTGTTATATATATAACAGCAAAAACTACCCCGTCAATATAAAACCATCGATGCCAGTGTAAATCATTTATAACTATTTTTAATTTCAAAATTGCAATTAAAATTATGTTGTAATTGCTCAATTGAATTTAATCCCGTTCAATAACAATATTACAATTTTGAAGTCAGAGCATTTCTCTCAATCAATCAATCCTATTTTACTAAAGTTAACATTAATTATATGAGGAAATAAGTGGTATACAACCATTTTTTTTACAACTTTCTATAAACTGTTATACATCACTTTGAAATTTTTGTAATATCCTTTAAAAGGATTCCGCAAGTTCTTTTTAAACCGTTAAATACGGTGGAATAAAAAGGAATATTTTCAAGGAATTAAACCTATACATATACATAAACTTATGAATTCTATATTTATTCTTATGTAAAATAAAAAAATTTGAAAAAAAAAATGAATTAACTCTTAATGTGTTGGTAAGATCTTATATAATCAACTAAAGATTAACGAATAATGACTAACTGGTTTTTGCGTATTTAGAATAATTCTTTCTTATAAATTCTTGGATATTATTTTGTATAATCCCCCAAGACAAAAAAAAAAAAAGAGTTACTCATCATACTTACATACTTAAGTATGTATATATGGAAATTTTCATGTGTATTGCAAATAGGAATAAAATAATATTTAAGTACATACCAGGATAATTTTTTAGGAATCTGAGAAAATGAGAATAATTTGAATTGATTGCGAATCATATTTCATACGTATTAGTTCATATATACATACATACATTTGTATATATGTATATAACAAAACCAGTTGAATATAAATTTGATTTGTATCCTTGAAATTTTTTTTAAGTGGATGTAAAAAGATAGTCAATGTGTTAATTAAAAATTAATGTAGTTCAGTACGTCGCCAGTATTGCGTTTTTGAATAAATTTTTAAAGAAATCTTTTGTGATGGTTAATTATCATTGGAATTCTGAAATAGGTCAAATATTTTAAGTTCTTCACTCAATTTAAACTACTTTCACTTTGATTTGACATAGATTTAAATGTATTAAAATTTAGTTCTGGAAATTTTGTAAGCTCTGTTGAATTATATTTGTTTTAATACATACCTACATATGTATACGTTCGACATCTATAAACTCTGGCGTCATAAAAATTCACTCCACCTATTGAGAGAATTTTAACATTGATTTAGTTATATAGCAATCAATTTTAAACTCAGCAAAGTTTTTATGGAAGGCCGAAGGGGATGAATTATATTATGTATTTTATTTGTAAGGATTATTTTAGAGTGTCTTGTGTTTGGTTTAGTAGGCTAGCAGACTCAGACTGCCTTATATTGAATAAATTTTTATGTTACACATAAGTCTTAAATGATCTTTGATGGTTCTCATTTTGGAGTATCTATACATAAATATGTACATACATAAATTATTTTTGAATTAGTTATCGTACAATACACTTGTGTTTATATGGGATTAACTAAATATTGTAATTTTTACAAAATGTTTAAATCAATTATATTATCAAGTCACATGTAAAAATCTTATAAATTTTTCTCCTTCGAGTACATTTTCTCTCAATGATTACACGTGCTGCGTTAAAAGTCCTTTTTTTTTTCTTTAATTGCATATTGAAAGTGAAGTTCATTCAACTTTTTAATTTCGCTCAACACTATTTTTGCGTCACACTAGTTTATTACAGAATTTCTACTTTTAGTGATTCCGTTTTATGTTTATTTTTTTTTGTTGCTAAGGAAGGAAGAAATAGCAAACAAAACAATAAGAAGAATATGAAAAATTATGAATAGTCTTTTTGTTTTTGTTTTCGAAAGTAGTTCCGTTTTATTGCATTTTAAAAAAAGGGGATAAAAAAGCAGGTGAAGCCAAAAATGTTTGTGACACGAAATAATTTTATACACAATATCCATTATGTTTTTAATATTAATATTATTTATTTATGTTCATAATGTATATATGTATGTGCATATATACGAATTTGAATTCGAATAGCGGTTCTTTTTTAATTTGACACAAAAATACCGTTTACAGATAAGGATATTAATGTTATCAGCTATTAAAAACTCATATAAATATTTACTTTCACTCGTGTAATAAACATGTGCCTTAATACGAATTAATTATTTTAATATTTCTTATTCATTTGCATATTTATATTTGGATATAAAATAAAATTTAAAGTTTGCGATTACTAAAAATCATTAATGGCACTTAGCTGAACGAAATCAGAATATGATTATAAAATAAAAGTTATATAGGTCGTTTATCAAATACGAATTAATCTGCAATTTACTTTTTTAGTAATAAAAATTACATTGCTGAACTGCAGTATATGCATTATACCTATATTTTGGTAGATACACTTATTTTTGACTTAAGTTTGACATAAAATATTTTGTAATGCGGTAAAATTATTTATTTCTAATGCCATTTATATAAATTCAATTAAAAATTTTCAAATTCCTTCTGATCACTGAATCTCATCTTCATGTCAATTTCTTTACTAACTTTTCGTATTTATTTAATTTTATAAATAATAAATAAATATAGTAAAAATGTTCTCCGTTTGGACTACGACACCCCTTGAATTCAAAATTACAATCCTCCCAATTTAACAATCATAACACGTAGCTTGAATTATATGTATGCTGTAGCCTATGCCCTCTACCCTATACAATCGAGCATAAGATATTGTAATTTGTAAGTTTATATCTTATTTTCGTTCAAATATGTACATTATTTTTTGCTATTAATGCAAAAAATAGTATACATATTCGATATAAACAAAATATTTTACACATTCTTGCAAGATAATTAATATTTCTACAATTTTCTTGTATGCAGTGTACATTTGAAAAACAAATCTGACGTATGTTAACCTCTACTGTAAAATAAATCTAATTTATTAATTAAATTTAATTTAAATTAAATAATAATATTTTGAAATAGTATTATTAAAATTAAAACAAGTTACATATATATTTAGTCATGTATATAATTTATTCTTGTATGCTAATATGTACATATATACGTATATATATACATGTATTATTTAGAATTTAAATCTTGTAAATAATTAAAAACAAGACCATAGATAAAAATTTTGTTTACCAATTCCAAAGCTTTCAATATCAACTATAACTAACCACCTGTTTACTAATAATATATTCAATTTGTTTATTTAAAAATATGCGTATACATATACATACATGTTAAATGATAGTAAGAAAAACATCTGAATCAAATGTTATTCTCCCATAGTGAGAATGAATGAAAACAAAATGCAATGAATTGAAATTTAAATAAAATAAAATTTATTAACTGATTTAATTTGTTTATAATTTTTTTTTTTTAATTAATATATAGATATTTACATATTAGTTTTTATATAGGAAAATCGTATATTTAAGCGCTTGTTGTAATAAGTGATTTTTTTGATGTTTGAGTGTTGCCTTTTGGCCACTTAATGTGCGTGACACTTATGGTGTTGCCAACCTCAAATTTTATAAAACAAAACCCTTTTGGAACTAAGTTTTTTTATTGTTAATACAGTTACCATGTTCTTTTTAAAAATAAAATACAAAAATTCTAATTTTGAAATATCATGCTTATGCAAAAAATTTATGAATCTTAAATTTTAATTAAATATAATATACAATCTATTTGTATATAATATAACAGTATAGTGATAGTAAGTATATGATACAGCAAAATATTAAAACTAATGTGATGTTAACAAAAATTTTTGTTATTTTTTTTTTTTTTAATTTTTAAAACAAGTTACTCGCTACATCTATTAAGTTTGTGCTTTTGATCCAAAATGTTAATAATTTCACGTGATATTTTGATTGTATGTATCAAAAAATTTTTGTTGCCATCTTAACAAATTTCCTATGTATATATGAATATGCTTAACGTTGATTTAAAAAAATGTATTATCAAATTTGTTTTCCCATTTATAACATGATTAATATTCAAGATTTTGAAATAAAAAGTTTTAAAATTTTTAGAGAAATTGATCCATAAGATGAGAAATTGTCGAAAATCTGGTGTTCAGTAGCACAATTAATATTAATTTTATTATTGCTATCAGTAAATTGTGTGTATAACTTCAACTCTTAAAATTTAGTTGTTATACTGAACTAAGAAACTTAGAATATTTGTATTATCAACACTAATGCAAGTATAAAATAAAATTTTATAGAATTTTTGGTGAATTCAATTTTTTAAGTACTCTTTTACTTTTGTAATTGCTATTAAATACGAAATTATTAATTATCACACGTGGTAGGGCTAAAATTAAATTTATTTTATATGATTAAGGAACTTCATTCTTTTTAATAATTAACATACAATTATATATTTAAATTTTTATTTACAACATATATTTTATTTAAATACTAAAATTAATATCCTATATTATTTTCATATTTGATCACTTTTTTTGAATGAATGAATAATGACGATTATTATTTTTATTTTACAATATATTTTTTTTTAAAGATGGTCAAATATTATTGAAATGTGAGATAATTAACAGGTAGTTTTGATTAAAGCTTTGGAATTAAATTTAATATAGATTTATTTTTAATAATACCGAAATTTGGAATGTGCCTATTTTTTCAATTGCAATTAAAATATTATTTACGAAAAAATTAATTATTTGGAATGCAATTAATTATGTATGAACAATGTATTTCCTTATTTCACTATAGTAAAATTAAAAAAATGGTATTATGTGTGTTAAATATTTTAATATTAAGTAGAATATTAATTGTGTATTCAAGATCACGATAAACTAGAATGTTTAGGCAAACACTTACATATACAGCAACATTATGCTACATTATGTATATTACTATATTTAATCCAGTTTACATACATATGTATGTATATGTAGCTATTAATTTTGGAGGCCCGTCTGAATATTTTCGTATATAAATAATTTAATTTATTTTTTTTATTTTTTTGTAAATATTACTAAATAATATTTTTACACAAGATTTTTACATAATATGTAATTTAATTAAAAAGAATTGAACATTCAATTGGTATTCAATTATGAAATTTAATTTTAATAATCTATTTCTTTATCTAATACTTGTTTTTATAAATATATCTAAAAAATTTGCCAAGAAATTGCAATTTAGACCATAAGAAGAACGTTTTTTCTTAACAAAAATAACGCATGTTAAAAAATCTTTGTTTGTATCAGAAATTTGAGTCTAGTATTTAAAGTAATTATTCGGATATTAATGTTAAGGTGGCGCTAAATTTTTCGGGGTTAAATTTTGCTATATAGAATTAAATTTGAAACATTCTTTTATTTTCTTTTGAATGCTTTCTAAGAATTTTTTTTAAAATTTTCATATACAAATATATGTATAGGTACATAATATTTAAAATTTTTGAATAAATTTGTAGAACTAGTTTAAAAATTATAATAATATTATTATGTTGCGATATATAAAAAACTTAAATTAGCAAAAAAAGAATTGTGCGGCATTCAGATATGACGCAGTAATTTTAAAAATTGTTTATAAAATTGAAAAAAAAAAAAATCAAAATTCCATAAAATGCAATTGGGTGCATATTTGACTGCTTGTCATTTTTGTTTTAGAATTGAATCTATAATAGTGGGCCTTTATTTTTAGTAACACATTCGTAGTTGAAAATTCGAATATTTAGTTATCAATACTATTTTGAATTATTTATTTATTAAAAAATGAATATTTTAATTAATTTAAGCTTGTTTTTCATATATAGATACAAAGATACACATATATACATACATATATATATATACTTTAATAAATTAATAAATATGTATATATATAATATATACAATTTTCAATAATAATAATAATAATAATAATAATATAATCTAAATCGTATATAATTAAATGTAAGAAACTTAGAAACAGGATTATAAATCTAATATTATGAATATTTTTTATTATTTTTGTTTTTTTATAATATAAAACTTTAACCGAAGTGGGGTGAATTTTAAATTATAATATCAAAAAAAAAAGGCTATAAAAGAGTTAAGCAAATTATAATTAAATTAGTCAAATTTATAAAAGAGTTAAAGAAATTAAAATAAATAAATTAAAGTTAAAAATAAAAAAAGATTTTAAAATAAGAATTTGATAAAATACAAGGCAAAAAGAAGAAAAATATTATTTTTGAATAGTGAATTTTAAAAAAAATCGTATAATTCAGTGAAAATGGTGCGTTTTAAATTTAATGATTTTATGTGACTATTTAATAATTTATGTAGATTAAAAAATTTCAATAGAATAATAGATTGTAATATCGAATTTTAAATTGGTGATAAGCACTATTGGAAAATAATTTAAATTTTCAAATTCATTTCTTACTCAATTTGTATAAAATATGAATTGTTACTAAAAAATTAGTATTTACCATATATGTATACATCTATAGATTTTGTGTTTATTAAAAAAATTTTTCAATAAATTTAAACTAATTGCAATTTGAAATTTGATATTAAAAAATTAAACTAAATCCTGAACACATATAATTTTAAAAAAATTTATTAATTCCTTTTGTTTGAAAAATTATTATTGCTTTAAAATGTCTTATTGTTAGAAAATAATTTGAATTTTAAGTTCATTTGAATTATTGAAGTATGCACCCTACTTAGAATTTACAAATATTAATTAAATAAATCAAATCTTATTAGACAATCTTATTAGACTCTAATTGATAGAGAGTTACTACTCACAGTTGGTTATTTAATAAAAAAAAAAATATTAAAATCAGTGCTATATACAGTGAGACATTAAAAAAAACGTACACATAATCGAGTAAATCAATTTTATATTTGAAAATTTAAGAAACAGTTTTATATTAGGCCATTTTCTAAGAAATGCAAATTTTCCATTATATGTTTAGATACTACTTACATTTATAAATATAAAATACACGATATTACCTAATGAAAAACGTTTTCTTCTTTTCTCTTTTATTTTTAGACTACATACACTGATAAAGGCCGTAAGGTAAATCAATTTATCTACATCAGATTTAAATTTTAGTTTTTATAATTGAAATTATATTTTATTTATAGCCTGAAGCTGGAAAATTTTTAAGTTTTGATCATTTAGTATTTTATGTTGGAAATGCAAAACAAGCAGCTAGCTTTTATACTACACGTATGGGATTTGAACCATTAGGTTATCAAGGATTAGAAACTGGAAGCCGTCAATATGCTAAATATGCAGTTCGTCAAAATAAAATTACATTTGTATTTGTTTCTGCATATGAACCAAATAATAAAGAACATGGTGAACATTTAATGAAACATGGAGATGGTGTTAAAGATATTGCATTTGAAGTAGAAAATTTGGATGCTATTTATAAGGTAAATATTAATACATAATAAACTTTTATATCTGACACAAAAATATTTTTTTATAAATTAAATATTATAGCATGCTAAAATGCGTGGAGCAGAAGTTATCAAAGATGTTTGGGAAGAGAAAGATGAATATGGTTGTGTACGATTTGCAACTATTAAAACTGTAAGCTTAATTTTATTTTCATAATTATAAATTTATGCAATTTACTTTTTCAATTCAGTATGGTGACACGACACATACATTTGTGGAACGTTATCGGTATAAAGGAAAATTTTTACCAGGATATAAACCTCTTCCAAAAGACTGTCTTTTAAGTGTTTTACCACCAACAAAATTGGATTTTATTGATCATGTAGTTGGTAATCAACCGGATCTTCAAATGGAAAGTGCAGCGGAATGGTACGAAAGATGTTTACAATTTCATCGTTTTTGGTCTGTTGATGACTCGCAAATTCATACTGAATATTCCGCTTTACGGTCTATTGTAATGGCTAACTATGAGGAAACTGTTAAAGTACCTATAAATGAGCCAGCTAAAGGAAAAAAAAAATCACAAATACAAGAATACGTGGAATATTATGGAGGAGCTGGTGTACAGCATATCGCTTTGAATACAAGTGATATAATTACAGCAATTAGAAATTTAAAATCACGTGGAATGGAATTTTTATCAATACCAGATACTTATTATGATCTGTTAAGAGAAAATCTAAAACTTAGTAAAGTTGTAGTAAAAGAAGATTTATCTATTTTGCAAGAATTAAAAATTTTAATTGATTATGATGAAGATGGTTATTTGTTACAAATTTTCACAAAAAATATGCAAGACAGGCCAACAGTATTTCTGGAAGTAATAGAACGACATAATCATAATGTAAGTTTAAATAATTGAAATAGTTAAGTTTTTGCACATATTTTTTTTTACCCTTCCCTTTTTACTTTATATAAGGGTTTTGGAGCCGGAAATTTTAAAGCATTATTTGAATCAATTGAATTGGAGCAAGCTAAACGAGGAAATTTATAGATTGAATTATTTATTACATTATCTATTACAATTTTATGTAAACTTAGATGTTAAAACTATTGAAGATATAATAAAATTATATTATAAATTTGTTAAAAAAAAAAAAGAGAGAAAAATCATTTTTAGCAATTTTTAAGGATTAAATTTAGTTTTATCTTCCTTATTGCTATCAACAAATCTATAATCTATAATTACTTCATTTCGTGGATCTCCTGGTGGAAAATCACGCATTACGGGATCCCAAAAGCCTTCAGGAGTTAAATGGAGTTTAAGAGGCCGTTCAGCATGTTTTGTATTGCTTTTAAGGCGCTCCTTAATTTCACTTACTGTTAAATTTAATTCTATCAAATATCGCAAATACTAGAATTGTATAAAAATAAAAAATAATTCAGGAACATTTTAATTTAAAATACCGAATTGCAATGTCTGCAGTCACAATTATGTCCAATTCCCTGTAATGTTATCGGCATTTTTGTATTGATTTTTTCTACTACTTCTTTCTTATCGTTCTCCAAATATGTTTGATCTTGCTCATTAAGTATATTTAATTGAGTTATATCATCATCATTTGTTTGCGATAAACTTTCCAATTTAATATTTTCCATTACTTCATTATTTGGTTTAACAGATGATTTTTCATGGTTATTTTTTTTTTTTAAAATTCTGTAGAAAACAGAATAAATTTATGTCTTATTTAAAAAAAATTTATTGGAAGTTTTCAAATATATTCAAAACCACATTTACAAAAAGAACTTACTGTTCATTTTCAAGCTTCTTCAAAACCGATGGAGTTTGATTACCTCTCTTCATTATTTCATCAAATAAATCCGCGGAATCAATATCACCAAGGTCAACATTTTCAGTTTCATTAACAATAATAACGTCATCAGATTTGGGTGGTAATATTAATACACTACTGCTAGTTAAATTTCCATTTTTATTTATATTGTCCTTTTTTCCCGATTCAAATTCTTTGGTAATTGATTCTAAACTTAAATTATCGATAGAATCTTCAGTTATTAAAGGCTCATTAATATCCTTTTTGTTTGCATTCAAATGTGGGAACAAATTAATAACATAAGGCTTTTTGCATGTTACAGGTTCTTCTTTTATAACAGTTCGTTCCGCGTGCTTGGAGCTTGGTGTACTTGTTTTGATGGTTTCTTCATTTGTAGTTCCATTTTTTGAAGTAGTCGCCGTCGATTTCTTAATAGATATATTAAAAAGTTCATCATCAGAATTTTTGCGAGAAAATTTTCTTTAACAAATAAAACAAAAAAATTAAATTTAAAAATAATGTTCTAAATCATAAAATTAATCTATATCTAACATAGATATATACTGATGTACAATTATGTACATACATTTCTTTAAAGAAAACTATAGAAACAAAAATTTTCTTAAAACTAATTGTCCTTTATTAAAAAGCTTTTCATTACAGAGCTTTACCTCAATGATCTTTGTGTTAGACTCAGCTTATCTTTAAGAGAACCTAACGTTTCAACGCCAGGGCTAGCGCAAACAATTTCACAAACTGTTTCATCAGACTATAAACAAAAAACAAATAAAAGTAAAGTAAGCAAAAATATATAGATAAAAAATATTTTACTTTGTAATTATTTCGAATATGATTAGAAGTCATGTTATGTTTTTTTCTGTCGAATTCCAACTTAGCTTGTTTCATTTGTGGCTTTGCTTTTAAATTTAAAATGTTTCGGGTCCCTTTTCTAATAGATTGCTTTGGTTCTGCTAGACTTTGCGAACTTGCTATAGATTCACAACTATTATCTAAACTATCATTTTTTTCAATTTTTACAGGTTGTATAAATTCTAATCCAATATTTGTAGAACCACTTTTCTTCATCTTTTCAGTTGATAACCAACCAGCTGTAGTTGTTGTTGACATTTTTTTTAATTCCACCGGCTTATTTTCGTTTTCAATATTGATTCTTTTACCGGAAATCGTTTCTTTAGTAATTATACGTTTGGGTAAATAATGTGAAATTTTTGTTGGAGTTAATTTCACCTGAACCCCTTTCTGTTTTTCTTTTAAATGATGCTTCGTAGGTGTAGTAGTTCCTATATTATTTTTTGGCGACAAAGGCATTCTTTTGCTTGGTGTAATTTTTTCCTTTTTGGGACTTCTTATGATATTAGTAGACTGAGGTAACGAACTAAAAGAATTGCAGCTTTCATCAAATATTACATCTGAAGTTAAAGCAACATTTAAATCTTCTACTGGATCATTGGCATCATTATCAAAATCTTCATTTGAACCTATTTTTGAAGTCGACAGTGCTGTTGAATCGGCTTGTTCACTTGAACTAACTTTCTTTCTTTTTAAGGGTGTTAAATCATTTTGTATTTGTTGAATTTGTTGACGTAAATTATCTATAGTTTTATTTAAAGCTAAATTTCCAGTTTCTAGTTGAGATATGTAAGAAATTTTTTCCCTGTGTTCGGCCTGAAAGTCTAAATAAACAAGATTATAAAAATTTCGAAAGTTCTCTTTTTACTTACGATAATAATGAAGCTTTATGAAATCTAGCAACTCCAAAATACAGTCATTTCCTTTATTAGAGTCATTATTATAATTATGGCAAGATTGAACTTTGCAAACCATATTGATAATATCATAAATTATTTGTGTACATATATGTAATAAATTCAAATATCATGAATTTAAAAAACCTCAAAATCAAAAAACCGCCTGATAAAATAATGTTTATGTATGTTAGGTCTTGATATGAATTTAAAAAAAAATCGAAATGTGAACAAAAGTATCGAATTTTTCTTTTGATACTTTTGTTTAATACTCTGCACGTTACATGTTGATTCTTTGCATTCAATTTTGAGACTTTTTATATTTATTTGCAAAATTTGAATTGATTTTACTAAACAGATATTGTTACATATAAAAAAATTATAATTTGAAAATGATATTCAGCACGCGAAAAACTTTAAGAATGTTGTCTTAAATATTGTAAAATATTTTTCAATATGTCATTAAAAAAATCATGTTTTCACCGTCAAGTATGAAAATGCATATTTATGTCAAAACTAGTTCAAAAATTGATGTTTCTTAAAATTAAATGTAAGTGGCTACTTTGCTCAAATTATGTATACATAGGTATATAGATATATTGTATATATCAAATTAAATTATTTTTGAAGACATTTTACACTGCCTTTTTTGTAGTTACAAGATTTGGTGCGAAATTTTTAAATCGATAATGTTCAACAAATATTTTTACACGGCGAATAGCATAAATAAAATGCCGATAGTGTGTACGTAATCCTTTAGTTACTGTTAACATATACGACAAAATATGAAAAAATCTACGATTTAATCTGAGTTTGATAAAAGTCGTTATATATAAATCCGGTTTGACAGACTTTGTCTAGCGGCAAATATTGGAAATATCTGTATTCCTATCAGATTTTCAAAATTAAAATTTTGCGGAAGTTTTGCGCTGTGCAAAATCAGATGATTTTTATTTTAGTTATAATTTTTATAGTAAATTGTTAAATGTTAACATAAGTCTGATATAATTTCAGTCTGATATGTTAAAAATCACCAGACTTTATCGCACACTTAAAAACTTATATTTTATCATAACTTAAACTTTACCTTACATATTGCATTATTGTGTGAATAGATTTTTGAGTATTTGTGTGACGCTGGCAATACCATGGTTTGCTTGATAAACATGTTTTGATATCTTTCGAAAACAAAACATTGTACATATGTATGTTTATATGTATGTATATATATGTTTATAGGCATATGTTGAAACTTCAAATTCAAATAGGAGAGGAAAAAGCATGCAAATATAATATGAAAATCCGTGGAAAATACGGAAAAACTGGTGCCATATCATTTGAAAAAGGCAAAATTAATCAAGAATACTCATATATCAAGCGAAATATAAACTTGCTAAATCCTGGAAAAGTTATTGAAGAATATATTAACGCGTTATTTTGTTTTTTGTGGACCATTATTTGTTCCGTAAAAGATATGTTATTGATGTACAGAGACGATATAAAAAAAGTTTTGTACAGAAACATGTTAAAAATGAATTTGGCTGAGAAACCTAACAATTTAAATAAAATAAATGAGAACACAAAAACTAAACCCAGTTTGAGCCGCAAGAATGCTGGAAATAATTGGCAAAATGCACAAACTACGGTTAGTGCACATGCGAAACCAGGAAAAAAAGGTTGCATTACAAAATATATTGCTATAGACTGTGAAATGGTTGGTATCGGAAGGTATGGGCAAAATGATATGCTAGCTCGAGTATCTCTAGTTAACCAAAAAGGTGAAGTTCTTCTTGACAAGTTTGTAAAACCAATTGAACCGGTAACTGATTATAGAACTGAAGTGAGTGGTATTAGACCTCATGATATTCAGAACGCTGAAAATTTTTTGAAAGTGCAACATGAGGTCTTAAAAATTATAGAGGGTAATATTTTAGTGGGTCATTCTATCGCAAAGGATTTATCTGTTTTACGTATTAAACATCCACATAAAAATATTCGTGATACCGCTAAGTATAGGCCTTTGGCCAAACTTGTATCTAGAGGCGGAACACCTAGCTTAAGGACTTTAAGCAAATCAATTTTAGGTGAGACGCTTAGTAGCATTAACTATGTATGATCTAAGTACCTACGCACATTTGTAGTACCTATATAGTTACTATTCGTATTTTAACTAAAATTTAAGCATACATACTATAAATAAAAGCAATTTGCATTCAGTTTTTTTTACAAATTTTTTTTTAAGGACTAGACATTCAAAATGGTGAACATGACTCTACGGAAGATGCCAGAGCTACAATGGCAATATATAATCGTGTTAGTGCCGAATGGGAGAAACATATTAAAAGAAGAGAACAACGACATAAATCAAATCATCACAAACACGGACATGGCCACGGGAGAAAAACTTGATACTTCTTTATTTTTCAATAGAAGCTAATACTTTATTAATTCAAATAAACTTTTTGTAAAAAAGAAAAAAATTTGTTTTTTGAAGGTAAAATTTATTTTCTCCATTAACAATTTCGTCAAAATTACAATTATTTCAATTATTAATTTATACATAAATACGAAAGATATGCTCTATATACAAAAGAATGTTAAAATGTTTCTTTTCTTAATTTTAAAAAGGTTCTTAAAAGTTTTTAAAATGTACTATAATATAATTCTCTAAAAATATGAATCAAACTGAAAAGATAGTTAATCATTTAATATTCTGTTCGAGATATCCTCATCTTCGTTTGGATTACTATTTCTGTCCGAATCGGTGGTTGAATCGTCAGAAAATGATTCTTTTACACATTTTTCATTCGATTTTTTCAAATTACTCGAGTGAATAAAGTTGTGTCGTTCCACTAACTCCCTCCACGGATCTTCCAGCATTGAAGGGTGCACAAATTCTGATATGTTTATGCTCTCTTTATCTTTATTATTTTTAAAAGAACCACTAACATATTTAGATTTATTACCACCTCTACGTCCATTATCATTAAAATTGCTCTAAAAAACATAATGTAGTTTTATAAGTTTTTTTTATTATTTTTAAAATGATACCTCTCGCCTATTGTTCTGGGGAAAGTTGAATCTGTTTTTATTAAAACAATTATTTGCATTTTGAAATTGTGGTCTATTGAAATTTGCTGCATTATCTTTGCTGTCTCTTACATAGCTTTCACTATCTGCTGTTTTAAAATGTGAGTTATTTTTAAAATTATTTTGCCTGAAATTTTTGTTATTTCTATGGTTCGACCAATTTGGCCCAGATGTACGATGGTTTTGACGATTTGCTGAAAAACATTCAGCATTATTATATGGTGTATTATTTCTACCATTCTGGTAAAATTTATTTCTATTCTTTGGAGTTGATTCTTCAAAAGGAATAAACCCGGGCTGCATTGAAGGATATAATTTTGTTGATGATTGAATATTTTGGTTTGCAGTTGTTTGTAAATTTGTACTATTTTTGTACGGCGTATCCATTTTTAATTGTTTTCGTATTTATATTCGTTTTATAACAATGAAAACTTTAAGTTTTACAATTTTTCTTTATTATAGATTAATTAAAATGTCTAAAAAAATTAATATGAAGAATTAATTTTGTAATAATAAATGAACTTGCTTTTTCAAGTTAACATAAATAAAAACAAGTGAATGTTTGACATTTTAGAAAAATTGATTGGATTGAAATTTTATTAAAACTCAAAGTCACTGAAAAATTCCCTTTAGTATTGCCATGTACTAGAAATTACATTTTACTATCTTTATTCAACAAGCTTAAGAGAAATAATAGATCTGTTTAGTAAAATAATTGAAAAAACAATTTAAAAGAGAAAACAGTAACGTCTTTGCGAGAAAGCAAAGAGAAAATAATTCTGATTTAAAAAAAAATCAGTCAGACGGGAAAGGTGAAAAAACTTTTAAAAACTTTATAAAATACGTTATAAATGATGACGTTATCATTTTCTCTCATTTTGTAAAAGTGCTATACCAGACGCTTTGCATAATAAAACTTCATAAAGTTTTCAAAACTTTCTTCTACCTAATATGTTCCAGCAATAAATGTTTTCTTGAATTATTCAATAAAATTATAAGAAATACTTAAACCAGATTTAACAAAATTTTTCAAGGCTTATAATTTTGTAAAAAAAGATATCACTGAATTCAGCTTTTTCATCCGAATTCATACATGTTAAGCTTTGTTGATATCAATTTTCATTCTGATTTATGTTCCTAATACATATAGCCAAATTCAGGTGAATTGAATAATAAAAATACATAATTATGTTGATGATTTTCATGAAAAACAATCCAGAATTTCTGCTGTACATTATGAAAGCTAAGAAAGAGATTGAATAAAAACATCCCAAAAAAAAGAAATATGTATATTTTTTCAAACTAAATCACAACATTGCATAAAAACTAAAACAAAACATACTATGTATTTTGGAATTTCGATTGTTATGATTCTAAATAATAAGGCTTATCTTTAAGAATTGTTAAAAAATCACAAACTTTTAAAAACTTGAGTTTTGTTAGTAAATTTTTGGCAACTCTGGAAATGTTGAATTTTTTACTTTTCTCTTATTTTCTCTTTCTTTAGCCTTGGTTTTTTGAATAGGCAGAAAGAAGAAAGATAAATTTTTTTATAAATTTCAAATCTAACTGTCAAAATTGATTTGTATTTGTCACCTAGTTGCACTTTTTTATGAATTTGTCACAAAAAGAAAGCTTGGGTGCAATATTCCTTTTAAGTTTTTTTTTTTAGTATATTTCGTAAAATTTTCCAGAAGGCTAAATCATTAAAATAGAAACATATTTGAAATTATTTAGATTATGGCGCAAAATATTAATCCTGAACATCCGCAATCATCAAATTTAAAACAAAATGATGAAACAATAACATGCCGAGACAATCATGCAGTTAGCAAAAGGTTGAAAACTATTTTACAGTATTCATTTCATCACATTATTTAATATTTTAGACTTCAAAAGGAACTTATGGTTTTAATGATGTCCAGTGAAAAAGGAATATCAGCTTTTCCAGAAGGTGACAACATATTTAAATGGATTGGAACGATATCTGGGCCAGAAAATACAGTTTATTCTGGTCACAAATATCGCTTATCATTAGATTTTCCAAATTCTTATCCATATTCTGCACCAACTGTAAAATTTTTAACACCATGCTTTCATCCAAATGTGGATTTATCTGGTTCGATATGTTTGGATATATTAAAAGATAAGTGGTCGGCATTATATGATGTCAGAACAATTTTATTATCAATTCAGTCGTTATTGGCGGAACCAAACAATGAAAGCCCACTAAATATTCAAGCGTCAATTATGTGGCCGAATCAAGAGGAATATAAAAAGTATTTAGATACATTCTATGAAAAACATAAAGATCACGCATAAGTAAAATTATCCTATAACAAATATTAAATTTTAAGTCTGAGCTCCTGAGGTAGCAATGCATAATACCTGGTTTGAAAATTAATTTTTAACACACAATAACAAAAATTTTAATGTAAAATGGTAAACACAATCCTTTTATTTATTTTTTAAATTCTATTTGTATTCCAAAAATGATAAGAGTTTAATTGAAAAAATGAAAATCTTATAATAAAAATTATTGTTGAATGCATTTTTCGGATCCTTGAAGTGAAAGAAAAATTTAAATTTAAATTGTATCTCATTTTATATAGATAATAAGCTTCACTAATAGTAATATAAATCAACAAAACTTCTGTAAAGATAAATTATTAAATTATATTGTATATTTATCAGATAAAATTTTTTTAAATATTTATAAAATTTTAGGCTGACATAAAAGAAACTACATATTCTCCAACACAATTTGGTAGTCTAATAATTTTCTTTATCCTCCTTTGACGGAAGGGAAGATATAAAGTATATACCTTCTCAAAAATTCGTTTCTAAATCAAAATTTTTAGGATTTCAATTGTAAGTTTATACAATAACGTAAGAATTAATTGTTTTACCTACTTGCTTTGGATATATATTGGTTTCTGAATGATAAACTAAAAATTTAACATGTAGGTGGGAAGAGTTCCTCGGAATTTTCTTTGAAAAAAAAAAACTGGCACTAGTGCAGGAAATGAGAAGAGTGTATAAAATGGCACAGAATTACCAAGACATTTTTATTAATACATACTATTAATTATATAACAAAATATCTTCATGCTTTTTGCTGTTTACTAGTTATAGTTGGCTGATACAAATATATTATGTGTTTATATATAGCGGGTGATACTAACTTTTAATTTTTGAAGTTACTATAAAATATGAATGAATAAACATGCATTTATATTGTGGTAAATTTTTAGAATTGTTGTTAGAAATTAGGTCGACTTAAGAAAAAATCAATGTATTCAGCTCTTAAATCGTTTAACGGTGTAAATTAAGATATTTTAATACAACAGAGCATAATTTAAAAGCAAAATCGTTTTTATATTTTCGTTTTTAAGTTATAAAAAATAAGCGACTTTATTAAATGAAAATATATTCAAAAATGTGTACACAATGTACAAAAAATATTAATTTTCTCAAAATGATAAAAATTTAGTTCTTTCATTGTGAAAACACCACAAAATATAGAATTCTGGTGAAAGTAACCAACCCTGTTAAAGCGAATTGTCATGTTGACAATTAATGAAATTCCAAACAAATTCCATAATTACCTACACATTTCTTTATTTTATAGTAGCTCAATGTGGAATCTGTAAAGCGATACAAGTTCCAAAATACAACTTGAATGCTTCAACTTTAATGACTTGAGTTAAAAAATTTTTTTTGCCTTATTCCTTGCTTAAAAGTCGAATAACTTACACGGTTCGTTCGTATTGTGGCAAGCATTGCAAGATTTTACTAATTTGTGTAGTTTATTCAGTTTTCAAATTTAGTATTTTTAATTAAAAGATTAGTAATATTAAATTAAATTTAATAAACAGAAAAAAAAATAATTAGTGCAAAATGTTCAAATTAGCGTTATTTGTATTTGCGGCGGTGATTGCCACAATTTCAGCCGATGCCGATGGTGATATTAAAATTGAAGATGGAGTTTTAGTTTTGACAAGCAAAAATTTTAACTCAGCCATTAATGATAACAAATATATTTTAGTAGAATTTTGTAAGTAAATTTTCTGTACATAATAATAATAAATTATTTTTTTACTTAATTTATAAAGTAAATTATGTATTTAATAATTAAGAAATATTTTTCAAAAAACATGATTTCAATAAATGAAATTCATGGAGTGGTTTTGATATTGTGTGCGTGTCATTAATATAATACGTATACAGTACAATAAACGTATACAATAGGTATATATATACATTCATACATACATACAGTAAGTATCATGCTCGATACTATATAAGTATGTACATATGTGGTAGCTATAAAATAAAATTCTTTACGAGAGTGGCGGTTCTTATTGGATTCGCGATTTAACTAGCTATAGTTTAGAACATGAGATATCATTTAAGTTGTGATAAATTGCACAAAATTCGAAAAAATAGAAAAAAAAAATGGTCTATTAAGATAACTATTTTTTCGTTTCAATTACCGGTGCGCTGTCCTGTTTTATTTGAAATACATGAACAACGTTATAAGTAGATGTGTTTTAAGTTCATGACGTGTCATTTGCAAATAGGAAATTGAATTCCTTTTTTAAATTCATATTGTGCGTATATAGAATGTACGTACATATATACATACATACATACACATGTATGTACATAGATTAAAAATTGATTTAAATTTTTCCAAAAATTTTGCAAGTTCCTTAAATTAATGCTTAGTATTTAATTTTATGTCCATTTTTATGTGATTTAAATTTTTTGAACAACACCCTAATGGACTAATCTATGTATAGTTAAGTAGGCGCGCGTACGTAACGTACATATGTACATATTGTAAGTAAATGGTATAGCAGTAGTATTGGAATTATGCATTAACCCTACATTAAGTAGATAGCATATTGAGCTATACATATCGCTTTTTTTTTTTTTTTGTTCTTTTATCAACGGTCTTACCAACAATAATGACTTTTTTTTAGTATTTTTCTTAGTTAATTAATTTCAAATATCGATTTGGGTCATGGCAATTATCAAAAAAAATATTTTTTATTTGTTAGACAATAGTTTTCATAACTAAAACTGTTGTAAATCATAAATTGTTTATAAACATTGCTAATTTGTTAGCAATATAGTGATATTCTTTAGAGTAATCAGTTTAAATCTGAAACTATGAATTGTTAGCTGTTATGAACAGTTTTGTTTTTAAAGAATTGTCAAAAATTTATTGAATTTCGTTCAAATTATATAGTTGTAGTAGGTAGAAATAGGTAAATTAATTAAAAATATTTAGGGCAGTTTTGGCCATTCGGGTTGTAAATTTAAATTTTAAAAATTGTCAGCAACATATACATTTATTTATGATATTAATAAAAATTATGTACATGTATTATGAGTAAGTCATCACAACATAAAATTCTTATCAACATTTACTTGAATATATTGGAAACACTATTTTATAACTGTTTATTGTTCACAGTTTGTATATAGAGTCATCTACAGATCTACTCCATACTAAACATAATGAAATAAACGGTAAGATTTTATTCACTTGTCGTTTTGTTTAGTTCATTATGTTAGACTAGTAAATTGAATATAAAAGAATAATAACAATATATTTTGTATAGAATATTGAAAGGAAAAAAAAAAAAAGCGGACAAGAGTAAAAATCACTACTACTACATTAAATTACTGTATATTAGTATGTTTACTAAAGTAACAACTACAGATATACTTTTTATTCTTTCTCATAATATAAATACAATATTGTAAATTGTTGTGATAGAATGTTTTCCGTTCTTAATTTTTTTTTTTTAATGTTTTAATTTACTAAATCTTTAACTTGTTTACATTTTCATATGATAAAAATAGAATCTTAAAAAGTATGCATTAAAAAATTCATTCTATGAGTATATTAATTATTATAAAATGTATGTACACATGTACACGATTATTTTATTAAATATGTAAAATAAAGAGCCGTTGTTTAAGAATACAAAATAAAAATTTACATGAATTTCACTTGCAACTTACGAATTTAATAATAATTTCGTCATAAAGTCGATTAAACTTTAAAATTTTATAATAATTTATGTATTTGTCATGCTTTAGTGGCTGTTCTTTCTTATTTCAATGTGTTTGAAAGTTTTTTTTTTTTTTAATACAAAATAAATACTTTTATAATGCCTTCTTATACTTATATTTAATTCTTGAGATAAGAATAGAAAATGAAGAAGTTTTGCTTATGTATTGTTATGTGTTTTAAAAAATACATGACGTGTAAATTAAAATTTTGCCACGTTGTGCTTTCAAATTGTAGTTAAGAACATCATGGCTAAAAAACATTTGGTAGAATGTCAATATCTTATTGATTAAAAAGTGAATCAGCAAATAAATAAAAAAAGGATTATGAAAATATTCTTAATTTTATAAAAAATTGAAAAAAGTAATTGAATTTTTTTTTTAATTTAAAAAAAGAAAAGTTAATTTTTTCAAGTAGATATTTATTTTTAGTAAATGTTGTTTTTTTTTTTATTAATGATTTTTTTATAATCAGTAATAACAAACTGAATTAATAGGAAACGCGGTCGGCAACAAATTTCAAAAGTAAATTTTTTTTTTCTTATTAAAATTGCCTAGATTTTGCTGTATGTGATAACATAACCATATTTTAAGATTAGAAAGTTTAAACGGTACTTACTTATATATGTAAATACGTTCTTTTTGGCGTTTGTAAAATACTTGGTTTTATTTATATCGAATACATTCATGGTTTATGTAGATGCCTACTGTTGTTTACATAAAAACTTAAATTATTTACATAAAAATTTCAAATTATTTGCATTGAAAATCACTTTAATTTAGTTTGTCTTTAGAGAATCGACGCGAATTTTGTTTGTTTTAATGATTAATTAAAAAAATTATGATTTATTATTTTTTACCATTCGAAAATTGCATATATTAAGGGGATTTATGTGACGGCACTAAATTTCGCATATTGATTTTCCTGCAAAAATGAGTTTTTTCACGATACAAAGATGGAAATTGTCTTGTTTCAGAGAAATATCTTTCTGTCTGCCTGTGCACCTATGTATCTCAATTTCGAAATAATTGTATGAAAATTTAATATTTTAAACAAATTTCCTGGGAATATCAGGGGAAAAAATCGGATTACAGAAAATATCAAATTAATTAAAATCATTACAAAATTTTTGTTTTCGTAAAATATAGCATGTGATGAAATATTGTCTAAAAAGGAAAGAAGACATTCCCAATTTATTTTTTTTATTATTTTTATATAAAAAAAAAATCAGCCTACGCCATTAAGGAGTAAAAGTATGTTACTGTGCCAAGACGTTTTTAGTAATATTTTAGAATATAACTGGAATGTTTACTTTCTTTAAACACTGAGATTTTAATTTTAGCAAACTACTAGTAAACTATTAAGAATTTCTTTTCATTTATGGACTGTTCTTTGTAATTCGTAATTTTCCCGCTTAAAAAATGTGTATATGTATATCACATTATACGTAATATTATGTATACCTTATTGATTAATTAATGAAAAATATTTTAACATCATAAATAATAATTTCAAGAAACATGTTTGCATTTACCACGTAAATTTTGGATTCAATAAGAAATTAAAATAAACTTAAAACATTTGTTTAAAGATCAACATAAAATTTAATAAGAAACACAAAAATAAATATTAAATTAATGAATTGGCATTGTAGAACAAGTGTATTTTATGTTTGAACACTTTTTTTTTGAGAATTCTTCGTGTTTGTACATACCTACGTTTCAATTTTAACGTATTCATTAAATAAAACCATTTTGAATGGAACTTGTAATATATTTTTTGTTATATAATATGGACCGGAAATTAAATTTGGAAGTGTAAATAATATTGTAATAATATATAATTTATTAATAAATTAATATTCAATTATTAAATATTTAATATTTAAATTTTAACTGTTGTATTTTTTATATTAATTATTTACGTGCTTGCTGCACGTTTATATTAATAATAGCACGTTTAACAATTTTAAAATCTCAATAATTTAAATGTTTGGAAAATGTAAAAATTAAAGAAAATGGCGTTTGCAAAGAACACTAAGAATAATGTTTCCGGATTCTAGTCTTTTTCATTTTTTTTGAAATTCTTGTCAAAAATTAGTTCAATTCATGTAAATGATTAAGATTAAATTTCGTTATTATGGTTTGTTTGATGTTGTATTCAAACTTGGTGAAAGTAGAAGTTGTAAAAAATTTCTTTTTATTACTTAACCAAATTAAGAATTTCCCTAGAATCTAAATTCAAATTCAGACCAGAATATAATTTATTTTCATTTAAAAAAAAAATCACCAATTTGTTTTACATGATAATTTAAAATTTAAATCGTGGGATGTTAATTTAGAACAAAGCTTTTATTATTTTAAAACAAAGCCATTTGTAAATGTACATATATATGTATGTATATATTCAAATGTATCAAAAATTGAGAACAAAAACATTTAATACACAATAATTTTGCTCTAAGTTAAGGCTACTTTAGTTAAATTTTGTTTTCGAAATAAATATTTCAAAAATTTTTAAAATTTAACCAAATCTCTAAAAGTAGTCTACAAATTTAATTATTTTATAAATTATTTTGTTAAATATTACTAAAATAAATAATTTCAGCATTTTTGTTGTTAATATATTTTTTTTTCCTAACCTCAAATATAATAGTGGTTTTAAAGTCAAAAATTCTTAATAAAGAATAAATTTTAATAATTTATAACAAATTTCATATTTTATTTTCGAAAATATTGTAATAAATTAAAAATGTTTTTTAATTTTCCCATAATATTAAAGTTATAAGATTTTAAAGATTTATTATTAATATAATATTTATATACCGAATTATAACATAAATAGTATACATAATAAGTATACATAAATTCTTTTCGACTATTATTTCAGTAAAAGCTACAAAATGTTAAGGTAAATGCCCCTTTTAATATTTTTATTAGCAACTACATATATGTATACATACATAACTATATTATCTAATTTTCAATCCATTTCTAATTCGCTTTCTTTTGTTATTTCCAAAAAAAAAATAAAATAATTTGATACAATGTGAAACTGGCCTTTAAACCATAGACTAACTATAGATTAAAATACCAAAATTATATATATGTACATACATATTATAATAATCAACTATGCCTAAATAAATGTCATTTAAATTCTGTAGAACAGTGGTTCTTAACCTTTTTATGGTTGCAACATACTAAATAATACAACTTTTATAAGCTTGTATTAAATTCTGGATGTATAACAAATAAATATTAAATATAAGCTAGTTAATCTAAAAATTTGTTGTATACAATTACATATACATATTAACGTTACTTAACATTTAGCAACATCACAAAATTGATTGAAAAAAATAGTATGTGACAGAATAAATAACTTTGCTTTAGATTTTTATGAAATTTGTTCAATATTGGCTCAAAACTCTTTCTGTTCTCTTATGTTGGTGTCGTTGATCTAACGTTCTGTTCTAATTGATGTCTTATGTAGATATAAGTTCTAATAGGTTGCCATATTTGTGTGGATAATGTAGATCCTTCTAGATTGACTGGAAATACAATTAGTGGCTTTTATAATATAAAAAGCAAATTAATCATCGATCAATCGGAAACCAAACAAAAATCGATCCCGTTCCATTAGGTTAAAAATCTCTGTGGTAAAGAATCACCACATACTCGTAAAACTTATTAGAATATTTTAAATTAGAAAAAGTAATTATGTACATACATACTTTTATGTAACGATTTTCAGATATATACGAAGGGGGAAAAGGTAGAAATGAAAAAAAAAAAATACTTGTTTTCATATTCTGTGCATGTGTGTATATATATGCATAAATGTATTTTAATACATAAGTATCAAAATTCTACTTCCACTAACTATGGGTTACCTAATACACAAATTCGTTTTGAATATCAAAAAGCATGGAGTAAATAAACTAAGTATGTAAATATATAAAGGGTTTATATTTATTCTTAATTCTTTTTAGTTATTAACAATTTTTATAATTTAATGGTTTTGTTAACAGGGTGTGATCCTAAGTTTTTTTTTTGTCATTCTTATTACTAATTTTTTTTTTTATTTTTTAAATAAAAGGTTATATTTTGTTTTATTACATAGCATAAAATTGTATATATAGTTAGATATGTAGATTTATAAAATTTAAATAATGATCGCTAATAAAAATAAATTTAAAATGAAATTAATTTGAATGTGAAATTTTTCGTGAAGGATCGTTTAAATAAAAAATATTAAATATCGTTTAAATTTAAAGAATTGAGTTTATGATCACATTTTGTATGAATGTATATGTATGTATGTATAGGTTTTTGACATCTTTGACTGGATGGATAGGTTTTCTTATCAATTTGAAGGATTTTGAACCCTTGATTTTTTTTTTTTAAATATATGTATATTGACATTTAATATTTAAAAAAATATTTTCAATATTTTTGGTTCAATATCATCTTATAATTAAGAAAATATATTTTAACTAAAGAAATACAGTATTCTCTCGCTTAAAGACGTTTGTGGAATCGAACATTTATGATTTAAGCCAAATGATTCAAATTCAGGTGAAGGCAGAGTAAAAGTGATTTTCCGCATTGAAATGTCAAAATTCGTATAATAGAATACACATAAAAAATTCGTTTTTTTTTTTGACATCATCCGTTTCCAAAGACGTATGAAATTATACGATTATACTGAAAATTTACTACGTAAAATACTGAAAATTTGATTCTTCCGTTCCGCTATTGTTCTACGTTAACAACGCAAATAGTCCACCTTTGCAGTTCATCACTTTGGTTCTGTTTACATTTAAAATCATTTTTAGTGTTAGTTTAAAGTGAGGAAATGATGTTTAAATTTTGGAAACTAATATTAATTTGTGTTAAAAATACCTAGCTTCTTTAATACTTCTAATAAAAATTGAACCCTAACGAATGACTTGCATATCTAAGATAAAAACCTGTATTTAATTTGAAGTGATGCAACAAATATCATAAAAATTATATAATATCAATTGGAAGATTTAATAAAATTTATGATTGAAAAACTAGTTTGTTCTTAAAAAATGTTTCTTTAATAATTAGTGATTGTTTTATTTTGATTTTAGTTGGTTGGTTCATAAAGAACTAGTTTTTATCTTTGTTTTGTCGTAATCAATGAACTTGATTTGACCCGTTACTTTCAAATGCAACATAGAATTTTGTGGAAATTATTATATTCTTCATTATAATTCGTTTTTTTTTGTTTTAACATAGACGGGGTTGCATCTGTATGGAAATAGAATTTCAATATGATATTTTTAAAATGAAAAAATCCTATTAGAGAATTATGGGAATTCATTATGTATATTTTATTATGATAGTTATAATTGTTACCCACAACTTATCTACATACATATATAAAATTGTGTTTTAATTAAAATTTTTAGCAGATGTTCCCACTAAATGATTTTTCTGTCATCATTTATTTTAAACTACGCATATAAAAACATAAATGAAAAATTCTTGTTTAACAGGTTAATACACTATTTTATTGTAGTTTTTGTACATGCATATATAACCTGTTTAGTAAAAAATTCTTTTATTTATAATTTTATTTTTAAAATAGCCAATAATCGAAAAACAAAAATTTTTGATTAAAACTTTTTATAATAACCCTCTTACAAAATTCTAATCGTAAAAGTAATATTTAAATTTTTTTTTTATAAGTTTTTGAATCTAAATTAGGCTAAGCCATGACATGCATTTACCTTTACTGACTGACACTTTGTTTATATGTATCCGTATTTACAGATGTAATTCTAACTAAGAATACTTTTTTCTATCTCCCTACATTATACACAAAAATGTGCATGTATAAAAAATATAAAAAAATGGCATATAGTGTCACGTATTCTTACAAGAAAACAGAATTGAAAAAGTTAGTAAAAACTTAATACACATAACTTTAAAAATTCTAATTGCATAAAGTTATACTTATAACAGAGCAAGATGTATGTTTGTATTTAAGAAATTATATTAATATAAAATGTAAAAATAACTAATGAAATAATATTTTCAACTAAATAGAGAGCAATGAGTTTTGTATTGAAGTTGATAGAAATTATAAAATTTCTGAATCATAGCAAAATTGTGCTAGAGGCAAAGACTTCACTGTGAATATTGTGGTATTCTGGCAATTTTTTTCTTATGAAATATTGACTGCAATAAAAAACTGTAATATTAGAAGTGTTGCCCTCTATATAGTCTCTATATTCTTTAAGTCGTCTTCTACAATACATGTTGAATTGACTGACGTGTAATTAATTTTTTTTTTTCAATTTCCACACACACATAAATAATGAAGTCTACCTCACTAGTAATTTTTTTTTTCTTTGTCCTCTTATTAGAAATTTTCTTGTTTTTCTTTTACAATTTGCAGAAAAACATGAGTATATATACATTTTTTGGATGGTTGGGTGGGTAATGTTAGGTTAGTTCATTTAATTTATACAGATTCCACATGATTCGAATAAATCTTATGTTGCCATATGTTACTACAATTTTTTCTTGATGCGAATTCAAACAAACTGAAATTTGGCATTTTTATGTCACAAATTGCATAATTGCAATTGATGAATGGCATAAAAATTTAGATTTTCTTCAAATTTTATTTTTAAATCAATACATAAATGAACAAAAATAATTTTGGACAGTAATTATAATTAGAAAAATGAATGTTCAATTTTTGTAAATTCTTAAGGTTATTTTGAGTCGAAATTACTCAAAAATCTCTTATGTACTTAAATTTCTATTTGTTTTGAAATTTTTGCAGTATCAAAATTTCGCGATTTTGTGCAGTGCAGTATAAATAATTTCAGCAGTAAAATTAGTTGAGTAAGCAGAAATCAAATTATTAGAGGAAAATTTCGAAAATTTGAAAAATTTGAAAGATACTTGAATTTTTTTAAAATACATGACACTACAAATAGAATTAAAGGCTGTCCTTCAAACTTTAAAATTTTTCAAAACTCATAAATTTTCTTTTTTGTGAACATACGAGTATTTATAAAATTGTTTTCATTAAAATTAACATTGGTGTTATTCGAATTTGATTAATTAAAACTTTTATCAAAAAACATAGCAAAATATTGATCAGGTTTCATCAGTTCACTGAATAATTAAAAGTAAATGTTACTTTCGTTTTATCAAGGTTCCGATAAAATCAAATTTTTTAATAAGGCATTGTTTTTTCGTTGCTTCTTTTTTAATCTTTTTTTGCGATAAATTTTGAAATTTTTTTACTCACTAAATATTGATATTAGCTAAAACCAATTTTTATTTTTTTTTTTAATTTTAATATTTATTTTTAATTAACATTTTGTACTTTTTGTTTTCTTTTCTAAAATAGATGCTCCATGGTGCGGTCACTGTAAAGCTTTAGCACCAGAATATGCAAAAGCAGCACAAAGTCTTAAAGAAAAAGAATCAGAAATAAAATTAGCTAAAGTTGATGCAACCGAAGAAAGTTCATTGGCTGAAATATATCAAGTACGTGGTTATCCAACATTGAAATTCTTCCGTGATGGTACACCAATTGAATATACTGGTGGACGTCAAGCAAGTGATATTATTTCATGGGTTACTAAAAAAGCTGGATCACCTGTTAAAGAAGTAGATAGTGTCGATGATGCTGCTGATGTTATTAAAAATAATGAAGTGAGTATTAAAACTATTAATATTCAGAGACCTAGTGACAATATAGAAGATATGAAAGTTGAAAGGAAAACAGAAGATGCAAGTGATATGTTTGCTAACAATATACCTTTTGGTAGTATTGCTAGCCTTTTACCTAGTGTTGATAAAATGGCGCTCTTAAGATTTCAACTTCTTATGAAATTGTTTAGTGGATTTGCTACAGATTTTCATGATGCCTAAATGTTTAATAAGAATTAATCACTGACGAAAAAAGAAAAAAAAAATATTATTTCAATTTTTTATTTTAATTTTCCATTAAAAATAAATTTTTAATTTTTTTTTATTTTGAGCATTTAAATAACTTTCTTTCTTAATTAAAAAAAAAATACTTATTTTAAGAAAAGTAGATGGTCGGCTTTTGATTCGGGAATACTTAATCTACACTAATAATTAAATACTTTTCTAGTAATGTTTTAGAAGTTCCAAGATTCAGATTTTAAAATAGTTTTGATCTAAAATTATAATAATCGAATTTTTAAAAATTTAAATCTTAAATTTTAAAATTATGAAGCACACATTTAATCTCGGCATTTTTACATTATTAAGTCCAAGTCAATGAAATTCGTTTATAATTATCGTTTTTTATACTTATGTATTTTTTTATTTTTTTTATATATTATACATAATATATATTTTTTGTTTTTAGTCTTACGTCTGATAGTATGAATGGGTTAAGAGAGGTCATTCAACTGCTTTTGTAATTTTCATTATAAATTTAAAAAATGGGTACATGTAAATGTAGTCTAAATAAAAGGCAAGAAAAATTCAAAAACTTATATTGTATTTTTGTTAAAGCTGAAAAGAAATTTTAAAAAGAAAATCAGAAAAATATTAAGCTTTAGTTTTCTTATGTGAAAAATCATATTTTAATGTACATACTCATGTACATATGTATTACAAATTTACATGTGTTGAATAAGTTACAACGTTATTATATCGATTTTATTATTACTATATAAGATTATGTTCAGAAAATAAAGTGCAATAGACTTGTTCAAACAGTAAAATGATTTTCTACATAATTTCAATTTGGCGGGATGATGGTAGAATTTTCCTATATTAAAAAATTTCATAAAATAATTAAGGGGGTCGGTGAATGAAAGGCCATTTAATATTATAGTTAGTATGATTTTAGTTTACAACAGGTTTTAGATTAGAATTTCCAGAATTATTTTAATTTGGAAAAAAAAGACGTACCAACAATAACTTGATTGAAAATAAAACAGACGGATACTAGAATTAATAAACTGCAACAGTCTGAATTAACTGTGGAGGACTAAAGGACTTCTATTAATATCAAAATTAATATTGAATTAAAAAAAAAGGTAAAAAGAAATACCAAAAATAAAATTTTAATATTGTGACTCAATAAATTATATACATATATGTATGATAAATTGTCACAATTTGCTTTCAATGGTGGCTTAAATCTTATAAATTCATAAAAGAATTTATCAAAAATATTTGTATGTAAAGTATAAATTATTATAAAGATTAACGTGATGAATATTGTAAATAACATTTTGTTTTTGATAATTAAAATTTACAAGTGGAAGCCACGAATGATTAAACATTCTACTTGTTTAATTAATTGCTTTATTAATTTCAATTTTTTCAAAAAAGAAAACTTTTTACTATTATAAAAAATATTTAGTAACCAAGTTCAAGATCAATAAGAAAATGAACAGCTATAATACGGAAATGATATTTTTTTTATTTATTTAATGTGAGATACAGTATGTATATATGTATCTAAAAAAAAAAACTGATAAAAAATGTACGTTTCACAATTTTTTTTTTCTTTTTTGTTTTTTAGTTAAATATACATAGTGTACGTTTTTTATTTAGTTTATTTTTAAGTTCGTGTGGATTAAATTTCAATTTATTCAATAATGTCAGGGCACTTGTTAAAACAAACTTAATAAGACTATAAAGTAATTCAAATAAATAATAATTTGAACATAGTACGTATTAATTCATTGTACATATAGTTATAGAACTATAAGAATGAATTCAAATTCAACTGTACAAATTGTTCTAATGTACAAAATAGTTTTCAAATAAAATCAAATATTTAATTAAAATAATGTATGAAATTTCTGTTCATACATTTTGTATATTGAAAGAGGGGTCCCACTAAAAATTATGGTTTTTATTTTTCAGTTTTTATACTTGAATACCATATGCAATTGAACTTATTGTTCGTCATTTAGTGGATTAACAATGATAATGTATAAATGAAATCTTAATTTAAAATTTTTGCAATATAAATAATTTTGTATTGATTATTTTTAGCAATGTACAATAAAATTTGGACTTATACGACAAACTGATGAATAATAGCTAGTAAAAATATTAAAATTTATGTGGTGCGTCGTTTTAATTATACGCCAGACTTTAAGATTAACTTTTATTTAATTTATGCTACGCAAATGTTGCAGAATTTCATTTTTAAATGCTATTTTTATTTGTGAATGTTTATTATTTTATTTTTTTTTTATTAAATTTGACCTATTTTAATTTTGTAATCATACTGACTGTAATATTATATCAGCCTCAACTAACTTACTAATTTAATACTTTAGGCAATTAAGAAAGTATTTAAATTTTTTTTATACACAAAAAAAAAAAATGAAATAGAATAAATTGCGTGTTATTAATATTATTTAATATTGTTTTTGATAAGCGACTGAAAATGGCCTAATGAAAATAATATAAGATGCGATTTAAAAAATTTTATAACAATATTTTGCTATTTTAATTTTTTAAATAAGAAACTGCTTTTCTATAATAAAATTTCAAAAGAATAAGATAAAATGCAATGGAAAATTTAAAATAGAAATTACAATTATATTTAAAACTAAACTTGTGTTATATTGTTGTAATCTGCTGCATTAAGATCTCAATATAAAATCGAAGAATATATTTTAAATAACATGGCATCATTTTTCATTTTGACTAAAAAATACAACAAAAAAAAAATTATTATTTAATTCTAATACTAATAAATTTTTATATTTCATTTATTTATTTTTTTTAGATTGTTGTCATTGGCTTCTTTAAGGACCGTGAAAGTGAAGCAGCTAAAACTTTTGTTTCAGTTGCCAATTCATTAGATAGTTTCATATTTGCAATTACAAGTAATGATGATGTTTATAGCGAATATGAAGCAAAAGATGGAAGTATTATGTTATTCAAACCATTCGACGAAAAGAAAGCTGTCTTTGAAGGCGAATCATCATTAGAAAATCTTAAAAAATTCATTTCAGTTCAATCTTTACCATTAATTATTGAATTTAATCATGAATCTGCAACAAAAATTTTCGGTGGTTCAATTAAATCTCACTTATTATTCTTCTTATCAAAATCTGCTGGTCATATTGAAAAATATGTTGAACCATTACGTAATTTGGCTAAACAATTCCGTGATGATGTATTATTTGTTACAATTAGTTCTGATGAAGAAGACAATCAACGTATATTTGAATTCTTTGGTATGAGCAAAGATGAAGTACCAACATTACGTTTAATTAAATTAGAAGAAGATATGGCCAAATATAAACCAGAATCAAATGATATTAATGAAGAAACTGTTAAAGAATTTATACAGAAATTCTTAGATGGAAAACTAAAACAACATTTATTAAGTCAAGAAGTACCAGAAGATTGGGATAAAGCACCAGTTAAAGTTTTAGTTTCAAAGAACTTTGATGAAGTTGCATTTAATAAAGATAAAGATGTTTTAGTTGAATTCTATGCTCCATGGTATGTCGTTTTAATTTTTCAATGCATGACACTTTTCATTCTTTTGAAAATCTCAATTTCGAAATGGTCTTCGTATAGATATCGTAAAAGGATGTCTAAAAATTCGATATAGTTAAAATTTAATAAAATTTAAGATAGGATATTTTGAAATTGAATTTTTATATACACATATATTTTAATTTACACATAATATTTTGTACACGTCCAATTAGTTTAACACAACACTTTAAATAAAACACTAAAACTAAATTATGAAATTTTCTTTATATGGATGATCCTTATATAACACATTTTTCTTTATTATTTAAAGTTATTATATTGGTGTATTATCTTAATAATATCCAAATCTTTAAATATTAAAATATGAATTAATGTCTAAATATATCTTTAAATATGGTAGTTGTGTTGTTCAAGTTCATGTTTCAAAAATCTTTTAATTTTATTGTATTAATTTTCGAGAAGAATTTTGTAATTTGTATACGTGTTCTAAAAGGATTGTCTGTATAATTATATTTTTCTTTTCTTTCTTTTATAATAAATTTTCTTTTACTTAATCTAAAACTTACATACATATATCTAATACATACTAGTTTTCATTATTAAAAATTTCTATTGAAGTACCATAAATTGCATTATTTACATTTCTACAAAACACAATTCCGAATAAAATATTATATGTATACAACAACTAATTGAAAAGTAATTTGAAATTTTATAACAAAACCAAATTATTTTTTTAAAAATATTATTTTTGTGCATTTTTTTTTTAATTATTTTTTACACTTTTCTTAGGTGCGGACATTGTAAACAATTAGCTCCAATTTATGAACAATTAGGAGAAAAATATAAGGATCATGAATCAATTGTTATTGCTAAAATGGATGCTACAGTAAATGAATTAGAACATACAAAAGTTGTTTCATATCCAACAATTAAATTATACCGTAAAGGAGATAATGAAGTGATCGATTATAATTTGGATAGAACTTTGGATGATTTTGTTAAATTCTTAGAATCTGGAGGCTCAGTATCAGTAAGATATTATAATATTAATTTTGATAACATAAAATATATTCAGGAATTTATTAGTAAAATAATATTGTTTTTATATGAAATGATATTGTATTGTATTGCATGGTTTTTACAACCAAAATGTAAATAAAAATTAAATGTAAAAGATATTTACATATAAAATAATATTAATAAATATATTATGCATGCACAAATATTTAAAATATTATAAAATTTTATTAGGAATTATTGAAATATAGATTTTTATTTAATATTTTATGAAAATGTAATTTAATTTTTTTTTTTTTTTGTGACCTTGCAGGAAGAAGAAGAAGAAGAAGTGGAAGCAGCTGATGCAGAAAAAGTTGAAAAAGATGAATTGTAAATTAAAGAAAATAATTATTTAGAGTTATATTTCATATTGAAAACATTCTTAAAACAACAGAATTAAAAAACCTTCATTGAACATCCCGTACTTATAACAACAGTAATGATAAAATATTAAAAAAAAAAAAACAGAAAACAAAAAATAATAATAATAAATAGTTGTTCTAAATTTGTGTTTCTTTATTTTTGTTTATTTTAATTCTATATTTTTTTTTTTAATTGTAATATTTTATTAATAATTGTCTTCTTGTTATATACGTTCATCTTATACTTAAAATATTCAGTAGGAACCAATTTGATAAACAAAAAATATATGATATATTTTTTTTTTTTTTTTTGGTTTTGTGTATGTTAAGACAGTTTTCGTAATTAAAAAAATTAATAAAAATAGTAAATGATTATAAAAAGGTAAAAATAAAAAAAAAATAAATATAATAATAAAAATAAACAAAAACGACGTAAAAAAATACTATTTTTGTACTTGACTGAAAAAAAGATAGAAAAAATAAACGTTACAAGAATTTAACAAAATGTAAAGTTTTTATTCCTTTAATTTTTTATTTAATAGATATTTCATTTTAATTTGATTTAGCAGGTTTTACAATAACTAGTTCCTTATTTTTGTAATTTAATCATCTGATTTTTTTGTTAATTTTTTTTAATCATTCCAAAATATTTTCTAAATCACATTTATGCCTTTAGTTTTTTAATTTTCGCCAATTTATTTCAATGGTCTATTTAATACTGTTTTTATATATAAATACAAAAATATTTTTACGAAAATAAAATAAAGAAGTAGTAAGAGAGAAAATTATTTTTTAAAACTTTAATTTTGCATTTTCTTAATACATATTTAATTTTTCAAGGGAAGATCAATATATTTTTATTTTATAATTTGATTAATTTTACTTTGGATTTATTATAGAAGCGCATCATCGTTACAGTAAAATTTTTTAATATTTTTATTAAATAGAAGATTATTTTTTAGGAAATATAAAAAATAAATAATTACTGTAAATAGGTGTTGAAAACTGATATAAAATTTGTGTTAATTCTACTTCCTTTTGTTTTGAAATTGAAAAATATTAATTTAATAATTAAATATATACGTTTTATTGACAAATGTTCAAATAGGTTGAAATTTGGCTTCAAAAAAAATACAATAAAAATTTTATTTCCTTTATTAATTTTTTCTACGCAAGAAAATGTTTAGAGTACATCGCAAAGTAGTACGTTTAAAATATGCTTAAAAAATATTAACCTAGATTTTAATGAAACAATAGGAAATTGGCTTATCTATAGTACATATTTCATTATCTCTTCCCCTTCCTTTTAGTATTTCATTTAATGAGTTTTTTTAATTTTAAATTTTACTTTAGATTCTGTTGTATAATATTGACATTAATATTATTTTTTTTATACAAATACATACTTATTAAGTATACCAAATATAATTTCAGTTAATTTTATTAATTAAAAACAAAAAAATAATTTTGAATTCAAATTATTCATTTTAAATTAGTATAGAACTGAAAATTTTTATTTTTATTTTTTTTTTTACTTTTCTTAATATTTATAAAGTAAGAATGTAAAAAGAAATTGCAGTGTTAAAATGTAGAATAAATAATTAAAAACTATTCCAAAATTTTAAAGAATAAGCAACAAAAAAAAAAAAAAAAACGAATCATTTTTGAGGACATATTAATTTTAAAACTTTAAGTGGTAAATAAAAGAAAGAATTTCAAAACAGATTATTGTTTTATTTGCTTTAATTTTAGAGCCTACCATTTTCTGTACCTCACTTTTTTAAGGGATGTTTTTAGTCACTTTCAAATAAGGATATTCATACATACGTATATTTTTAACCCCCAAAGATATATTTATTTTAAAATTTTTAAAACTGAATGCATAAACTGCTTATATTCCAAATCAAAGTACCTAATTTTAAGTTGTAAAAGTATGGGATAATCAATAATTTTGTACTCATATGGTGAGTGAAAGCCTGAGATAAAGAATGAGGTTCTTGATGCTTCATTGAATTTATTTAATAAAATAAATTTAATTTTAAATTCTTTATACATTTTTCAATAAAGTAAAATTGTGATCAAATGTCTAGGTTTGTGGGTTTCTGTTTATTCAATTCGAGAATAGTTCTAGTTTGTAGTACATTCGAAAATTCACGCTACATACACTGAAAATATAGATCGTTCACTATATTTTATTTTTTTTCGGTACAGTAAATGTTTACCCATTATCATCATTTAAAAACCAACCTGATTTTAAATAAATAAATAGTTTTAAGCTACATATTTGTATCATAAAAATGGAATTTGAGATGAAATTATAATAGATAACATAATGTAGTTCATTTAAATACAGCATGTTTGATAACTTTACATTTTTGCTGTAAAATATTTAAGTAAACCTAGACATACTTATAATTTCACTAAAAACTTTTATTGTCGAAACCGATAACAATAATTATATAATAAATTTGTTTTAATAAAATTAATTATTTTGAATATGTATCTTTTTTATTATCCTTTTCCTCAGCAGGAGATTCATTGCCTTCTTCGTTATCATCATCATCGTCTTCATCATAATCCTCATCATCATCATCATCATCATCTTCATCCTCATAATTATAATTTTCATCAAAATCATTTCCAGAAAAATTGCTGGCACCATAGCCACTATAACCTCCACTATAACCACCGTCATAATCATAATCATCATCTTCTCCAGCTGTTTGCTGTTGACGGCCAAATTTGTGGCTTCTCGTTGACATGCTCATATCTTTCGTAATAGAAGTTTCATAGTTGCATTTTGGGCATGGTATAGCTTTATTCTTTTCATATTTAAATCCTTTCCTCCTTACATGATCTTCACAATAACATGTCTTACAGCGCAAGCAAGAATATTGTCCTAATCGATTACAAGATTGGCACTTGTAATTTTCTGATTCTAAGACTTGACAACTGGCTTGATGTTCAAACTGATCATCTTCGCATAGAAAACCATTACAAAAGGAACACTTGAATATTCGACCTCCGTGTTCCCATACTCCCCGTTCACATTCAATGCATACTGCGTTCTGAAGAGGGCAAGTGCAGGCATGAGTTTGGAGACACTTCCGCCCATGACAAACCCAAGCTTCACAAAAATCACATATCGCACCAACCATTCCAAGACCAGTCGTAAAAACTCCAGCATGCTTTACTACACAATCTCCAGTCTTAAGCATACATTTTATTTTACCTAAAAGTAAATTTTTGCATTGTATTTGTTTCCTGCTGATTTGCAGTACATATGTATTGAAGTTAAAATAAAGAATTTTTACCACATTGAGCGCACAGTGGAAGTCGCTGAACACTTTGACAAAAGTAGCAGAATGCTCGAGATTTTTGTTTCTGTTAAAATTTTTTTTCATTGAATGTCTTTATATAAATATAAGAGTACATATATAAGTATGTACTTACTCTTTCGCATTTGTCACATTCCATAGGTGCATTACATGGTACATCAGCTAAAGAGGATTCCCTGCTTCTAATTTCTTTCTGCCGGAGTTTTTGCTTCTCTGCCTTCTTTCTTTGGCCAGTCTTCTTATTTGGCATTTTACTTAGAGCTTAAAATGACCAAATTTTAGGCTTTAAATCTTAGAACTGACCTAGAAATTACTTTCTCTTCACAACTTGATCAGCACAGGTTTTATTTGCTGGATATGAGAATGTAATACAAGTCGTATGTATATACATACACTATTATGGGAGCAGCAGTCACATATACTATAGAGTACTCATACTATATAGGTATAATATATGAGTACTCTTATATATTATGTAGTACATATGTTTTTTATGCCGATGCCACATGTCAAAGTGATATACGATAGATGACAATTTGGATGTACTATTATTGAATTAGTTTATTCTGTAGACATATTAGATTAATAAACTAGTAGTAAAATTTAAGCTTCAATTTCCCTCTAATGGAATTTAAATTTGTCGTAAGTAGGACTTCCTATTCACCCATTTTCGATAAAGAAAATTTTTGATTTTCTAACTCATACAATTTTGACAATTCATTAATAAGGAAAAATTTGAAAAAAAATTCTCTTAAAATTGAAAATAACTTGCGTATTATATTATAAAGCGATCATTCTATTTCTTAAAGCAAAACATGCTATTTTGAAAAATTTTATTTTTAAAAAGCATAATTGATTGCAGTCTGGCATTGCAGATTGCCTTATTTAGTGACAGCGAAGAGTAATAGTGATGTGAACGCACTCTTACGGAAAGTAAAGATATTTTAATTTACCCAATCAGTAATCAAAAGAAAAAACTAACATTCCTAACATATTTATGTAATTAATTAATTATTCACAAAAAGTAGAGCAACTATGATTAAAATTTAAGTTTAATAAGTAAATAAATTTGGAAATTGTCAAATAATGTTACCTTACATTATCAAGAAAAGTATAACTTTCATGAAACGAAGATTTGAAAAAAATAATTGAATTATAGGCGTATAACAACAACAACAACAAAGTTACAAATTTCATAAATACCCTAATTAATTTGAGTTTTGTTTAATAGGATTTTAATTGGAATAATTTTTTAAAATGCATTTAAGTTCAAATATTTCAAGTGCTTTGCAGCACATTGAAGCTGTAAAAAAGGCTATAGATGAATGTGACGATCCTAAGTTACAAATGGCTACTGCAGAGAGTTTGAAAACTATGCTGGATGTTTTGGAATGCCCAGTTTTCAGGACACTCGTGCAAATTCAAGATTCTTTATGTGAACTAAATCGACAGTTAGTCCAACATCCCTCAATGCTACCAAATGATTTTGACATTGATATATCAGGAAACTTGATTCTCAAGGTGCCACAGTCAGTTGATTTATTCGAGCCAGAATACCCAGATGAACAACGTGTGTCATCTGCTCAAATGTCTCCTAGAAGTCTTAACAGTCCACTAGCCCCCTGTGGATATTTGCAAGGTAAACTTTGTATTATTTTTACATTTGGCATAAGAGTTTTATTTAATTTTAGATACTAAATTAGATGATCAGGCGCCATTTATTAAAAAAGCAAGGGGTTATAATGACCTATCTCGAAATACGGAAGAAGAACGACCACAATCAGTTGTTAGTAATTCTTCTAGGCATGCTTCTGATCTCTTTTCAACAGAGTGGACTCAAATTCAAGCAATTGAATTAGTAAATGACGGAACGGGATTGGGTTTTGGTATTATTGGTGCTCGTACGGCAGGTGTCACAGTCAAAACAATTTTGCCTGGTGGAGTGGCAGATCGTGATGGCCGTCTTCGTAGTGGTGATCATATTTTGCAAATAGGGAGTGTTAATCTTCATGACATGGTTTCAGAACAAGTTGCGTCAGTTTTACGGCAATCTGGCACTCATGTACGTTTGGTTGTGGCACGTCCAGTTGAACAAATATTGCCAAAATATGAGTTAGAGCTTAATTGTGCAATTGTCCCTTCTAGAGTTGTGCTGGATCCTAATGAACTCGAAAGGTATTTAATAGCTGCCGGATACCCAGACATATTTGGAGAAAACTCTACTCCTTCCACTCCGCAGGAGGGATGCGAAGTTCGATTTTCTTATAACGATAAAGATATGACTAAAAGACCCCCGATGGCCGTGCCAATAGATTTAGATGACATAGCTTTACCTGAAACCCAAAAATTTGAAGTCGAATTAACAAAGGATGTTAATGGTCTTGGTATAACAATTGCTGGCTACGTTTGCGAAAAAGAGGAGCTGTCTGGAATTTTTGTTAAAAGCGTTTCTCCAGGCAGTGCGGCGGATCTAAGCGGAAAAATTCGTGTTAATGATCGAATTATTGAGGTTGATGGTAAAAGCTTGCAAGGATTTTCAAATCATCAGGCTGTAGATGTTTTAAAGAAAAGTGGTCAGGTTGTTATATTGAGATTAGAGCGATATTTACGAGGACCTAAATATGAGCAACTTCAACAAGCAATTGCAGCCAATGAAATAAAGCTACCAAGTCTACCTGCCACTCCTTCCCGTCTGCCATTAGCAATCCCTCAGCGAAGAAGCTCTATTGGTAGCAAAATTCAATCATCTGAAGATCAAGATTCATCTGAAACTATATCAATTGGTCATACTATGTCTATGGAAAGGAAAAAAAATATTGCCAAAAAATCAATAGATGATGAACTAAATTTGCATGATAAGGGAAAAAAATTAGTTAACACTCGAGATTCCTTAGAGCAACCAATTAAAGGAACAGTCGATACCTGCCTTGATTTTAAGTCAGATAGTTTTGACCGGGAAAACAAGGAACTGGTTCACTCCGCCAAAAATCAAGCTTTAATAGCTAAACATAAATATTATGTTGATCCTGATTTGACTCCTGAAATGGAAATTGGAATCATTAGAAAATGGAAGCAAATTGTTGGAATGGATGTCAAAATTATAGTTGCCCAAATAAAAAAATTTGCAGTGTCTAGCGGTCTCGGTATATCTTTAGAAGGAACGGTAGATGTTGAAGGCGGGCGAGAGGTAAGACCCCATCACTATATAAGATCAATTCTACCAGAAGGTCCTGTAGGACAAAATGGTTTATTGAAATCCGGTGATGAACTGTTGGAGGTAAATGGCCAAAGACTTTTAGGTAAGGCAAATGTGATTTCTTTTCAGCTGTTAATTTTTTTCTTTGTTCAAGGTATGAACCATCTTGAGGTAGTGGCAATTTTAAAGGAGCTACCACAGGATGTTCGCATGGTGGTCGGCCGTGGTAGAAGTGAGCTATCTTCTCTTTCTATGGACAAAAATGCAACTCCAGTTTCCAGTGTTCTAGAAACAAAAAAACAAAATTTAGATTTGTTCAACGCCACCCATAATTTGCTACCAGCATCAGAACGATTAGTTAAAGCCAAGTCAGATGGAAGTCTAGCTACTGCCGGTAACGGTACTGATGAAGCATTTTCAAAATTAAAATCTCGTTCGCTTGAACCATTGACTGGATTAGCAATGTGGAGCTCTGAACCACAAATTATTGAATTGGTTAAAGGTGAAAGAGGTTTAGGATTTTCCATTTTAGATTACCAGGATCCCTTAGATCCAAATGATACCTTAATTGTTATACGATCACTTGTCCCTGGAGGGGTAGCTCAGTTAGATGGACGGCTTATACCCGGAGATCGATTATTATTTGTTAATAATATTAATTTGGAAAATGCATCATTAGACCAGGCTGTACAAGCATTAAAAGGTGCTCCAAAAGGAATTGTTAGAATAGGTGTTGCTAAACCGTTACCGATGACTGACAATTCAGTTAAATCTCATAATGGTAACAATACAGAAAATAATATTAATACTATGCCAGTATTAAATGTTGGTCAGCATATCCGAAATGATTTAACAGCAGATTGAAAAGATAAATAAAATGTTATAATTTTTTTCTAAATAGAATTTATTAGAAAAATTTATGTTATTTACAAACGTTTTATAATTTAAGGATAGAAATTTTTGTTGTTTCAAAATTGTTCAGAGAATCTTTATTGCGTGTTTGATATATTTCATAAATTAAATGTTTTTTAATAAAAAAATAAACTTTAAAATGAATGTCAGATAACTTAATCTTGACATTTTTTATGTTATACTAAAAATGTGTGTATTCCACTAGATTAAATTTAATATCTTTATTTTTATGTTATAATAATATGAAAGTATTCTATTATAGTTTTAGTTATTGGAATAAAGTGTTCAGTTGGTAACAATGCACTTTTTTTTTTTTTTGGAATTTTATTGACAATTATAACTTATTATATCCCAATATTACTAATCTTCTTATTTGAAAATATCATAATTTAATTGTATTATAAATTCAGTTTTATGAAAATGAAAATATATGTTTTTTTTTTTTAATAAATACAATATTAGAAAATGTGTTAATTATGAATTTTATTGAAATTATTCGAGAAAGTTTTAAGTTTTAATAAATATTTTAGGGCTGATTTCTTTGAAAAATTAACAATTTAAATTATTTTCAAGACTCTTTCAGTTGAGCAATTTTTATTTGCTTGTTATTTGCGAAACTAACATTTGAGAAACGTATGATTTTATTAAAAACACAAATAAAAAATTTCTCATATCCTTATAAGGGCAATATTTATTTTTATGGCTTATACACTTACGCATATAGTCAAAAACTTAAATTCGATTCAAATAATAATTATATTCACAGTTATTTATACGCGAACTTCTATTTTTAATTTCTACTTACCCTTTTTACCTTTTCCTTATGTCATAACTAAATAAAAAAATTTCCTAATAAAAAATTTTATGTTAATTTTAATTATTTCAGCTTAATTACCCCAAAAAAAAAAAGAAGAACAAAAAAAGGAATTAACTTAATTCTTTAACTAAATAATTAAATGAAATAAAAATTATGTAAAATTTAAATAAAAATATTTTCCCTAATGATAATAATGATTCGCTTGAACAGCAACGAAGCATATTTTAGTGAGACAAAAAAAAATATTTATTTAATTCGTACATTAGATACAGTATATCTATACATATACTATATCCAAGAATGTATGTGAACATTAAGGATTTAAAATTAAACAGATTGTGGAAAAACTCAATGTGTCATCATTTTATTTGAATTTTAGGAGAAGCGAAAGCAGTCGGTGTACTTATCTTGTATGAAATAAGAAAAACATAATCACAGAAAAAATTACATGGAAAACTTTGTCTTTTTTCGCTTTTATTTTTTTGAAATCTCAAAAGTAACTTCCCTTTTTTATTATCAGCATTCGGTAATAAAATTTTTTTAACACATTATATTTATATACGTGTGTCTGTATTGTGTAATATGTGTGTATATTTAAAATGTAATGTATTTATTTTTTAAGTAGCATTAGAAATTTTTTTCATATTTTGTGAAAATTCATAAAAGCGTATTTTACATATTAAAGTGCTATATACATACATATGTACAAACATAAATTTATGATATATGGTAAAGGAATGTTTGAATGAGTTTGTTTGTTTATACATAATTTTCCTTTCAAAAGTCGATTAAATGACGGTTTCCTGAAAATATTGTCATGAAATGTTTTTTTTTTTTCAATGGCATTAGAAAACATAAGTAAATTTTTAGAAAACTTTTTTTTTTCTTTATGCAGATTAAATCAGAAAAATTTTTCATATTTTCAAAACATAACATAATGTTATATAGTTTGTTCTGCAAACAATAAGATCTTATTGAATGTTTATACAAGTATAATTGAGTCGAACTATGCAAAACGACTTCAAATTCACAATATAAATCAGTACTTATTCTGTCAGTATAAGTTCGATATTGGATAATAAATGATTTTAACGATGTTAATCTTAGAGTTATACTCGTATAATGGTCGGTCATTATGTTCGTTAGTTTAAATTTAGTTCATTATATGGCAGTTCCATAAGTTAAAAACTTAATGTCTAAAAAACTTCATTTTATTGGATGATATTGTTTTATGAATCATATTGGATCATATGATTGGATCAATGAAAGAATTGAATGGATCATATGGATCACATAAAAACCAATTTTTTAAAAAAAAGACTGTTCTGTACATGGTACGGTTGCTCAATACTTGTTCTGTTGGTTACTATGAGTACTTTATTCATTTATTATTCTTTATAATATTCTTTTCAGTAAATTGAGTTTGTTTAAATTTAAATAATTTTCAAAATATAAGAAGATATTGTTATATTCATGCCTTTACCTAAAATATAACTGGTATTATGAAACAAAATTCAACATTTTAATTTTCATCATAAAAATTCTTATTGTGCGAAAAAAAAAATCTTTTTTTTTCATATGTTGTAAATTGAAAATTTTCTTATCTTTTGTTCACACTCCTTTCTATTGTTGAGGAAAAAAATGAGTTTATTACTCTGTTTTTTTTTTTTTGCTGGCTAGTTTCCAACTGTTGTAATGAAATTATTTGGTACAGTTAATTTTTTTTTAAATACATATGTACATATAAATTTTGAATTGAGTTTGTTTCATATAATATGTAGGAGTTGTATTGGAAAAGCTGTTTCATAAATTAAAGAAATTAGAGCTTATACAATAAGATGAATAAAGTGATGACTTTTTGTTAAATAATTTTAATTAATTATAATAATTATAATTTAACATATTTTATGAGTTGAAATTTTAATTGTGTTTGTAATTTGTATATATTCATTAGTAGATAACCACCTATATTCCATTAGTGGCATTAAAATTGACGTGTTGGGTTGGTATTCAAAAATCTAGTAAATTTCTGAATGAAAACATATCCGAAACTTGAAGTTCTAAAAAACAAAATACTTTTCAATTATACCTCATTATCTTAAGTCATACGACTAACAGAATATGGGCGAATGACTAGGAATGTCTAAAGGTAACACCATTGGGAAACATTCCAGATGATTACTGCATAATTTCCCTATAGTAAGAAAATTTAGTTCAAAAATTGTGTAATAAAGAATAATACTCATACACGAATGACAATATGTAGCTAGTTGTTAAATTAAATTTGCTAAAATTTATTACAAAAGTTAAGAATTTATTTTAGAAATTTTAAAGAATAGAATCTTTTGATTGCATTTGCATAAATTTTTTTAATCGGTGTACATAAATAATACAAGAAATTAATTAATTTTATAATTAAATGAAAAATTCAAAATTATAGATGAAGAGTTCTTGTTCAAACAGTTTATAAGTGGAAGCCGTACACATTATAAAATTATAAAGATAAAAGATGTTTAAAATTTCGCGATACAAATTTATAATTAACGAAAGTTTTGATGTTCTTATAAAAAACTACATCTTACAATTGGTCTTTTCATAAACACGTTTGGTATATAGCCGTAAATAATGAAAACTGTGCTATATTTATGTTCATAAACAAATATTGATAATTTAGTTTATTCATAAACATCGCTAAATTTGCGCAATTTGGCGAAATTAGTATGAGTAGCTTAGTTAAATCATATATGAGCAGTTTTGATATAATTGAATAATTAAAGATCTACATATTACATATTCATCACACTATGTTTTTGTGGTATTGCGTTTTACAGTTATTGTTTTTGCAGCATATTGCGTTTATGAATATCTCTAATATTATTGTAAATTAAAATTTGTTCGTTAAAATTTGTAGATAAATTATTAATGTTCTATGTATAATATGTTTATTTATTAAACATTCCTTTTCGTTAAAAAATTTATATCTCTTTACAAAAAACAAATTGTATAACAAAACAAAATCATTAGAAGAATATTAATATAAATTTTAATGTGTCAAAAGTATCACAATCATTATTATACATATATTATCATATATATATGGCTAGATATATACATACATAGAAACTATGCTACAGATTTTACTGTATGTATAGAGTGCTGATGAATTTGAAATTTATTGACCATAAAAAATTATTTCCGGATCACCCTCTTATATTATTTTATTCTTAATGGAGACACTAAAAAGAAAAAAAAAAATCAAAATATTGAATTAATATATTCCGTTTTTATTCATGTATAGCTTTTGTATTTGAAAATGTCAATATTTTTATATCTAATTTTTTTTTTTTTTCTCATTCATTCAAATAATAGTCCTTATATTATACATATATTATTATAGAAAGTCCTTGGAGTTTTTTTTCTTATTCCCCATATACAAAATATATTAAAATAATGATGTTATATAGGCAGGATACATTGTTATGAAAAGGAGAAAAATAATAATAATAATAATATTGCTTTCCACTCTAAAATACAAGTTAGTTAAGAATATAAAGGGCAGAACTGCTATACAAGAAATTATGAAAGTTACTCTATATTTCAAATAGTAGCCCCTTATATAATTTGCTTAAATTAACTAAAAATTTAGTTTACGTTTCTAATATTTTGAATAAAAATTAAATTTTTATAAAAAGTAAAAATTAATTTTACACGTCCTTACATTTCTGTACAGGATAATCAAAATTAAATATTTAAACACTTGGATTACTTCTGTGCATATGAAATGAAATACGGATTACCACTCAATCTTCATTTTTTAATAGATTTTCTAATAACACAAAAATCCGGAATGATCCGGAATGAAAAAAACAACGTAATGAATTTATAGGTATGCGGAACAACGCGATTTTTTTTATGTAGAAAAATTTTGTCACTTCATTTTTTTTATTATTTAGGATAATGGTTTTAACTATTGCCGAAAGGAAAAATTTTTCAACTTCTCGACTTTTCTCTTGTGTCGTTCTTCTTTTGAATTTTTTTTATTAAAGACTTTTAATCAATATAAAAATTTTTTTAGTTTTCTCTATAATATTTTATATTATGAAAGAGTGTCAATTTCGTTGGCTAATAAATTGAATTAAATATTTTTCATATATCAATACCAAAGTACTTTTATTTTTTAGCAGAATTCATTTTATTATAATAAAAAAATAATAATTTTTGAATTCGATAAAAAATCGATGGAATAAGAGATTTTTTTTTGCAATATATAATTGCGAGGGTTGTCACATTGTTCTCTCTTTAAATTTGTATTTCATTAAATGAATTGAGAAAATGAAAACGAAACATTCTTTAAGACTTTTGCTTTTAGTTAAAAAAATTTGTTAAATTTTTCTATTATTATTCTAATATTTGTTAAAGAGTTAAAAACATGTTAGTTAAGACGTATAATATTTATACTAACAAAGTTTGTACAGAAATTTTGTCT